GCTCGTTGACACTATTTGGTGGGAAGTAGACTGACGCCACAAAGATACTTGATATCTCACGTGGCAGCCGACGCGGCCGAATCTGTCCCCAGACCACTTCGATGTCTTCAGGAACGTGTATGTCAGGTACAGGTCTGGGTGGCATTTGTTCATTTATGTAAATGGATACTCCACCTCCTCTCTTATGATCTCTGCATTTGTGAAGGTGGCTAAAGCCACTCATTTCGAAATAATCAACAGTTTCCGGGGTCAACCATGTTTCACTGAGAGCGCAAACGTCAATATTGCTCTCATGGATGATTGTTTAAAGTTCATCCTCCTTGTTGGATAGCGATCTCATATTGCTCATAAGCATTCGAGGGAAATCAAATTTTCGTGGTGTTTGCTTTTTTTTTTAGATGAAGTATGTATGTTTACAAGGTTGGAACGAGTTGCATCAGTTGATAGTGGGGAGGAGTCATTTCGACTCGTAATGCGAACACCAAGTTGGCGGATCCTGCGAGATCCGCCCCTACATCCGCGGGCTAGGAATATACCACACTCCTTAGCAACTTGCTTCACATCACCATGCAACGGTAACCTAGACCGCTTACGTAATGTGTAAAGCTGATTCATAGAGTACGTTATGCGTTGCGGTTCCATTGTTCTATTGATGATCCGGAGCAATTTAGGTTCACGGACGATATCAAGCGACCTTTCTAAGTCAGGGTCGAGCGACCTTTTAGAGTTCAAGGAAATGGTTTTGTTACCATTTAAGTCATTCAACGTCACTCTTTGACGCCAAGGAATTGGCGTACACACACACATACACGTAATGTACATACATAATCCAAAGAACAGTATCAAGGCGTTCAAAACAAACGTAGTTTTACGAGCTGCCATTCTTCAATATTGCACAAATCCCGGTTCAAACTGATGACAAAAGTACAAATAACACAATTCACCATAAAGGAAGTGAAAATCACGGCTGTGAGCAATAAATTTACCTTGATTTTATTCCAGCGACATATCGCTTGTGGCTGCCAACAAATAGCGCCCTCCCAAAAACTTCTGAGTGTCCCTTGTACTTTGACACGTGCCCCGTTTCCTTTCCAAAATTTGCCACTTTCCCTTGTAAGAAGTGCCTCTTTTTTCTGTGATGAGTGCCCCCTTTAAGGAATTAAAAATACGAATTTTCAGCTCTGATAAGTGCCCCTTTTACTTTGACGAGTGCCCCTTTTCATTTTTAATAAGTGATCTTTTCTCTTGTAATAAGTGCTCACTTCATCTTTCTAATAAATGTCCGTTCCACTTTCTTATAAGTGCCCCTCTTTTCACCTCTGATAAATGCCCCTATCCAGATCTGATAGAGGCACCTTTTAATTTGACAAGTGCCCCTTTCGGTTTGTAATAATAAAGTGCATTTTTCCTTTAAAGAAGTGCCCCTTTTCATCTCTGATGAGTGCCCCGCTTTAGGTATGAGAAATACCCCTCTTTATCTCTAATAAGTTCCCCTTTTACTTTGACAGGTGCCTTTCTTCTTTTATTATAAGTGCAACTTTCTCTTCTTCTTCAAATATGATAAGTTCTTTTTGTTATTTTGATGAAATTTCCCTTTGATAAGTGTCTCTTTTTATCTATATTTCCAACTACCGCTTTCAAATTCTGCCCTGTAGCGGTCATCTAAAGAGCCATATCTAGTTTCAAAGAATACAAGCACCTCTGTGCACTAACAGGAATTTTTGTTTAGCCACCACGATGAAAGGCAGCAATGCAGGGGGGGGGCAGGGGGCACAATGTCCCAGATTTCATAAGAGCGAACTGTGCCCCTTTTAGAAATATAATCGTGCTCGTTTTCAAAGCTATCAGATGTACTTTTCTCTAGATATGTATAAAAGGTGTGCTATTTTTACAATTTAACGTTTCCCCTTAAAACTACCACGACATATTTTGTTATTATAAGTCTGATAGACGCATTTTCCAACCTATCATTTTTTTGACATCATAACATGAAAAGTAACCATCTGCTTTTTGTTCAGGGATATAAAGGTTTCGACAGTACAAATTTTCTAAAGACAACTTCATTCAGCCTACATTTCCGTCATTCATGTTAAAAAAGAATGAGGCATAATTACCATATTATATGCTATATGATACGATGTTTCTTATCGCCTCTCAGTTCCCCTCAAAAAATGGATTTCCCATAGTCTCCCATATTATGTGACCCTTGGATAAATCGACTGCGAGCTATTTTTCTCAAATAATCACCAAAGCTCGCTCGCTACGATTGCATTTAAATGTCCCCCCTGTCCACACACAACATTTTCCATGATTAAGCGTGATTAGCTATACCGTTTCGCGATAGTGATACCGTTTCGCGATAGTTTTACGATGAAAATTGTGTGTGTGGACGCTCACTAACGATACGTCGTATAACGAAACTTGTCTAACGAAACGCAGGTTTGGGCATCGTTTCAAACTGAAACTCAATAAAGAATCACGCCTAATCACGCCTAATCACGGAAAATGTCGTGTGTGAACAGGGAGAGTGTAACTAGTGTAACTAACTGGGCGGGGCTTAACGTGACCTCGAGCGAAAGGAGACCAGACCTCTCATTTTCGCTTCCATTTCATGACCGCAGTAGCAAACTGCGCACCTACACGACATTTCGCTGTAGAGTTTCAGGATTACTTTCTTCTGTGTGTGGACATCCTGGAATGTATACGATGTTTCTTGTGTGTGGACACTCTGAAATTTATACGATGATTCTTTACACGACGTTTCGTTATAGAGTTTCGGGATAAATTGTTTTGTGTGTGGACACGCTGGTCATGTCATTAAGATATAAATTGAAGGTCTTATTTGTTTTCATTAAGAGATTGTACTTAACACCCCATCAGGCTCTGTAATAAACGGTCGCAATGTGACCTCAAAAATCTTGAAAGATTTGCTCGCTTGCTTCGTTCGCTTACACAAAAATATGTTCAGACCATCATATACAACAGCAAAGTATGGTGTTGAAGCAGTATCTTTGATCACGTAAAAGAGACATTTGTATTAAGCGCTATATAAAAATTAAATATTATTATTATTATTAAAAGATAAAACCTTGAAGGATATCCTTGATAATGTATTACTTATAATGTAGGGGGTATTACATCTAATATTTTTGGTGGTACACAAGTATTATAAATCGTTATATTTATGGATATTTCAGCCGTGTCTGAACCGATTTGATCAAAGATGATTTGGTCATTTAAATTGTACGTTCTTTCAAATTTGACAACCATTTTTGTATTATCTCACAAAAAAATATTTTGTGTAGCGCCCTCTGTAACAGAACTCAGCTATCCCTTTAAGTGAGTATTGTTTCAATAGTCACCAGCTTAACCCTAAAAAGGCCGGGCTATTTGAGGTCTTAGTATGGCCGGGGGGGGGGGCATTATGGCCCCCCTTAAGATCTCGGCCGCGAAGCGGCCGATCGCCGCGAAAATTTGCACGCATGTCAAGTGAAGTGTATAGAATAATATGATAATTTCAATTTTTTGAAAAATTCACTCATTTTGATATTTATGGTTATTTATGCAAATAAAGTCATAAAAATCACATTTTACCCATAAATTATATATTATTCATATTTAAGCATTCCTTTTCACTACATATATTCATTAGACCATTCTGAATAATAATACGACAACAAAATTTGGGAGAGCCAGCTTATTCCTCATGTTATCCCTTGTTTTGATAATTTCTTATGTATTTCATTGGTTTTTTAACTTATGTATTTCATTGTTTTTGTTATTTTATTTCATTTCTTACTACAATTCAACTATTTTGACTCCCAAAACAACCACCTAAACTTTAAACAAGACCCAATAACCCATGTTTGATCTGTTTTTAGGAAAAATGACTTTTCCATATGTTTTGTACACAAATCACGAAAATGAGCGATTTTCGGGCTGACATGCAAAGACAAAAGGTCACGTGACCTTGTAACCATAGGTCTGATTTCCAAAAAAAATTATTTTAAAAGTTGCGCAAGACTCAAAAGAAAAAAGTCAGCGAGCGGTGGGGCGCCATCCATATGCGTTCCCGAGCAATCGGAAAAATCGTGGAGGGGAGGGCATAATGCCCCCCCCCCCCGGCATTATTAGGGTTAATGGGTCTATCTAAAGCTCACTTTGTCCACCTTCAATCAAGCTACTATCGAACTGATCGAAAATAGAGTATTTACCATGGCTTTGGCGGCTCGCACCGTGCGAGGGATCCAATATTTACCCCCTCCCAAAGATCTTAGGCTTAATGTCAGACAAAGATATAGCCATTCGACGACATGAAAGGCCGGTGTAAAACCCGAAGGTAAAAATATTGGTCAGATAATGTTCCAACTGAACTCTTGAAGGAATTTGCACTAAACGTTGCAGCCATACTACAGAAAATCTATGGAAAAAATATATACCATGTCCGGCAAGGTGCGCTTCTCCTAAATTCTGAAATAAATCCTGTCTTGTCTGGAAGATTCTGTACAAGAACACCTCTAAGTGACTATCGACGTGCATACTATCATGCACCCCCCCCCACACACACACACACACACGCACGCACACACTTTGATTTCTAGTAGACGAGCTTAGGTAAAAAATAATAAAGAAATGATGAAGAAAGTTCACCATAACAATGCAAGAAACTAATGATGTTTACTTTTTTCTTGATTTTATAAAGCATTGGAGAAAATTGTGAGATAATGCGAAATACAGGGCTTCATAATTAATAGTAGCTTTATACCAACAATTCCGTGCTCGTATACCTGCGACCTGTTTCATTAATCCTGTTATCAGTAACAAGTTACAATAACTGGTATAATCTACTGAATTCGTCGCATTCGATTGGCTGAGGGCAAATTTTTCATAGAATCTTAGAATTAGTTATTAATAACATATGCTACAAAATCACAAAGTACAGAAAACTAGTCATACTTATAAGAAACGCAGTACTAACGAGCAGTTTATCTTTGACTTACTGCATGCTAATTCATCCTCGTAATGATCGCAGTGGTAAAGTCCATCGCAAAGGAGAGTCGGTAACACGCTCATCTTGGAGCCTGAACAGGCAACAAAGGCTGGTAGAAAATAGAAGATGGACAGAAAAATAACATATGAGTCGTTTATTATGCTTGGACATTTTGCGCTTGAATACACTAGGTTTTTTTAATTACTTTTAGTAATAAGTCGCGTTAAAGGTAAAGACCAGTATTGGAAACGCCCCAATTTCAAAAAATGAAATGGAAGCTCTCATTACCACTCATGTGAAAGAATATGTTTTGACTAATACATGATGATAAAAAATTTGCTGGGAAACCGCCTACTGATTCATATATTTGGTAAATTTGTTTCTCTCATGGTCTGTGAGAGATATAGGGTAGTCCCATATACATATTTCTGTGTATAGTGCTTGTAACTTTACGAAGAATGGGCCAAATTTCTTATTATTTTGATGATTCCAGAACCTTGCAGATGCTAAATGCTAGATGATCAACCTTTTCTGATCGATTCCACAACGTTTCTTTCACAATGCAATCGCATGACCATTACTGGTCTTTACCTTTAAAAATTGGCCTTCTTTATACTATTTTGCTGGTAAAACTGGAAACATGGTTTATCTTTATCACTCGACCTGTATTGAACAATTCTTATTTTACAACTGGTAAGATACCAGTAATCACTGCTTCAATACACACAGCTTTAGATTCCACCGATTTTTTTTAAAATAAAATTAATTCAACACTCACTTGATAGGTCAATGGAAATGATCTCAACGTCCATTTTAAGCTCGGAGTCACTCTTTGCTCCTATGGCAACAATCCACATCTCATTGTTATATACATATACATCGTCAGGAGCGTATCTTGTGTATCCATGGATAGTCATGATGACAGACTGTATGTCAGACGGATCGTTACCTATCCCTATTTGGACTATATTATCATCATTTTGGAGATACGGGACGTCTTGAAACACAACTCGAAATCCATTTGTAGCGTTTGTTTGTAGTAAGGTTGCGATATACAATCGTGTTGTAGTGGTGGGTGGTAAGGAGATGAAATGTGAACCGCCCTTCTGAAGATAAGTTGCTGAATAATCTGTAGGGAAAAAAAGACAAGAAATATAAAACAACACAAGAAAAAAAAGTCACCTGTAGATGATTTTTATCAGTTCTTCAACAAGAGATTGATAGATAATATTCATCATATTGCACTGATAGCTAGTCTGGGGACTCTCCCGAAAAACCCTTTATTATTATGATGACTTTTGGGTCTGTCAGAGTTCCCAAAACAGACCCAAAAGCCAAGTTCAAGTTCAAGTTCAAGTTCAAGTTTATTTGTCTTTCTTCCAACATAAATGTAATACAATTTAACAAATGTATAACATGCAAAGTATATAAGAGGAACACTTATAAGAATCAAGTTCATACAATGCATTTGCATGAGAAAACAAAAGAAGAAAAGACGAGGAGACCTAATTAAAGCTTAGCTTGTAGAGGTCAGGTCCCTCAAAAACAATAACATAAACAACAAGAACAGCCTGGTTATATTATAGATTAATACAAGAAATGTTCGTCAAAGGCGCTAAAGTACTAAAACAAATAACTATAAACAATAACCATATGATTATACACATGGTTTAACTGAGTAATAAAAAGGGTGGGGAGAAGAGACTATGTACAAAAGGGGGAGATTAGAGTGATAAATAATGTGGGATATAGAAATGGAGAGAGGGGGCGGGAGTGGGAAAGAGAGGGAGAGCTCGAGTGGGGGGAGAAAGAAAAAAATATATATATACTTTCACTGTAAACTGAAAGCTAGCTACAGGCGAGAAAGGAGAGAAAAAGGAAAAGGTCAGTCGGCAGTTGCTATACAGTAGTAAATTGAGGAATGGATTAAGTTCAAATATAAATCACGACAGTACAGATTAAGAAACAACTAAGTAATCATTCAATAAGTACAATTTCAGTTTACGTTTGAAGACAGATATACTGACAGAATGGCTAATGCTTGAGTCAAGAGTGTTCCAAAACCTTGGTCCAGTGCAAACTAAAGTGTTGGGAGTAAACTTTGTCCTTGCATGGGGTAAGTGGAATGCAGAAGCACCTCTTGTGGCATAATTGTGAATTTGATTGTTTCTCTTGAAAATCTTGTCTAATGCCAGTGGCAGTACACATGAGTTGAGATCATACATTAAGGAACCCAATTGCATATAATAAATATCTTCTACCTTTAAAATCCTATGATGATAAAAAAGAGGATTTGTATGAGCACGAAAGTCAGCATTACAGATTGTTCTTATTACCCTCTTTTGAGCCAAGAATATTTTATCTAATTGTGTTATTAGAGATTTGCCCCAAGCAAGCACACCATAATTAATATAAGGTAGAATTAAAGTTGAATACTAGATAAGTAATATGCTTTTAGGAAGAGTAGACTTCAACCTACGAATTACACCAGTGTTCCTTGATAATATTTTGCATAGTTTATTTACATGAGTTTTCCACTTCAATTGTTCGTCGATATAAAGACCTAAAAAATTAGTTGATGTTACCCTGTCTATCAGAACACCGTTGAACATAATGTCACCGGGCAACATCTTGAGCGAATTGCTATATATCATATAATTGGTTTTTGTAAGGTCGGTTTCAACCCATCTACCTCACGCACGAAATTTCGCGGGTAGAAATTATGACTAGGCATCCCCCCCCCCCTAGATCCGCCACTGTTGGATTCTACCAAGTTGTAAAAAGTCGTTGGAACAAAATTGGATACCTTAATAGGCCTAGAGCACAAAAGACATATATAACCCCAGTGACTAAAATAAGTCCATGAGACAGACCGTACAAGTGTGTCTTCAAAACAATGAAGAAAGATCACCATTTAAATGCATGACACTAATGAATTTTAAAATTGTATAAAATAGTGGAGAAGAATGTGAAAGGATGCAAAAAATGTGGCTTTAAATTCCGCACTCGTATTCCAACAATTCCGTGTTCGTGTACCTGGTACCTGTTTCATAGAAACCTGTTATCAGTAACAAGTTACAATAACTGGTACGCTACTTAAATAGTGGCATTTGATCAGCTGAGAGCACATTTTTCTTAAAATCCTAAAATAGTTTATTGTTAACCTTGGAATAGACACTTTATTTCTTCCAAGTTTATTGGTAACGCTATTCTTGTTTTCTATCATTTTATTGACAATGTTATATAGAACCTGATTATACATGTTATACAATATATTACTTTAATACCGTGTATACTACATCTACAGTGTTATATCTCTTACGAACATCTTTCCATCCTCCTACCTTTCACTTTTCTTCTCTTTATCGTTACTTCTTTCTTCTCTCCGTATCCTCCCTCTACCTGTTTTCCCAGTATTAAGAGAGAATATTGTGTATGTTTATCATAACGTTACGGAGAGACCGTAGTTCACTCTACTATAGACAAAACAAACTCGGCCTGATATTTCGTATGTTTAAATTGCAATGCATCTGTAAATCAGATCTGTGTTTCCTTATGTATTTTTTTTGGATTTCTAGACATCGTAGGGTGCATGCTTATATATTTATTACTTCATACCAGGTCATGGATTCATTTATTACTTGTACTCTAGTGATTACCGTTAACGACGTAACTGTTAACGAACAGCAATCTGTCGATTGTCAATATTACTTACCAGAAGAATTTAATTCTACAGTTATAGGTAATTATTGTACAAATTTTGGTCTTTTTTACTCTAATGCCAGAAGTTTGGTTAAAAATTACGATAAAATTTGTTCATTGTTGTCTGATATTACATTTCCATTCTCTGTAATTGGAATTACTGACACCTGGTTGACTGATAACTCTCCGAACTTATTTGAAATTCATAATTATTCATTTGTCCACCATGTCAGACAAACTAAAAGAGGATGTGGAGTCGCCCTTTATATTTTACAAACATTATCATATAAAGTTAGGCTAGATGATAGTGCAGAATTACTTTGTGTCGAAATCGATATGGGAAAAGAAAAAAAATTATTATATGTGTAATTTACCGACCTCCAAACAATCAAACAATAATAGACCTATTCCTGTCTGACTTTGACACTTTATTACATAACCTTAATGATGAAAATAAAGTTATGTGTTTAATGGGTGATTACAATATTGACCTTATCAAGGATAATAATAACATCAACCGATTACGTACACTCATGTACTCTAATGCACTTTTCCCAACAATTGATAAACCTACACGGATAGATACCCGCTCATCATCCTTAATAGACAATATATTTATTAATACAGCTATCGGATGACTTAGGTCAGGCTTAATATACTCTGAGATCTCAGATCATCTACCACCGTTTCTAATACTTGAAAACAATACTTAAACCTCCAAAAACGAACAAAAAAGTTAAAGTCCGAAGATTTACTGAGCGGAATATATCTCGACTAATCGAAAAATTAGAATCCGAAAATTGGGAAGATGTTTAATCGTGCAATAATACAGATGATGCATATTGCTTATTTTGGACAAAATTTTAATCGTACTTTAATACATGTCTCCCAAAGCTTAATAATAGTATAGTATTAATGACTGCTTTGAGAGAAATAGTTGTTTTTATACGCTCAAGGGAAGGTTACAATTGTGCTATTGCCCCGAGGCGTGCCGAGGGCAATAGCCCAATTGTAACCTTCCCGAGAGCGTATAAAAACAACTATTTCTCGAATATTAAAGCAGTCATTAATACTTTTATATGCCGAAAACAAAAGAGTCAACTAATGACACCACCTTGGCCTTTCTCTAGTTTATCTGCACGGTTGTTTTTTATGAGTGTATCTTTGAGAGTAGACTAGATCTAGATTCTAGTCTAAGCAAGATATTTTTACAATTTTGGGGGTGGGCCGGCCCTGTGGGGAATAGAGAGAAGAACCTGCGCTTTCATATGACACCTCACTTTAATATTGAGTATCACCTTCAGGATCACAACAGATAAAGGTTTGAATCTCGAATTGAAAAAAAAAACTTGACTTTTTTTGCTTGGTCGCGCAATGCACGTAGACTGCATAGAGACTGCATTGCGTGTAATCTCTATGGGAAGAATATAGCACACAACATCGGGTGCGCGATCAGACACCCTGACATCTAGATCTATTTTCGTCTACGTCTATGCTGGTATTCTATTTTCAGCATCTAAACGAACATGTTTATGGATAATTTTACGTACCTTTTTTGTTGTTCTTGCTGTCAGCGAGTCTTGCATTTGATAAGTTGAAATCTTGGGACAGTTTCTTTAAGTGACTCTCACACTCTGCCGTGTAGGCCTACCGTGTACCACCGTGCGCGAAAATGTCTGCGGACGGTGGAGAACGGCGAGGGCACACGGTGGTTCGTTATCAAAGCGGGCAACACGTTAATAGGGCGTTGGCGTTTATTTACACCCGGTGGGACCCGGCGAAAGTTTTGGGCATGTTCAAAACTTTGGCCGGCTGGCACCGGCCGCAAGTAAGCGGCAAGAGGACGGTGTTGAACGGTATGAGGACGGTAAGAATACGTTATGAAAACGGTCACACTGTATGAACACGTTCACAACACGCTCATAACCCGTTACAGAACGGTGATGAAAAATGGAGAGCGGACTGACCGTTGCCGTTCAAATCGGGGTATTTATGGCAGTCGTGTCATGACATCAGCAGTCCGGGGACTCGCTCACAGGACGCTCCGAGCGGTGAGGGGACGCTAAGTGACTGTTAGGTGGCTGCTACCAACCCGGTGCACACATTCGAGACCCGGTATGGGCCCGGTATGGGCCCGGTATGGAAACGGCCAAAATTTTCAACAAAAGTCAATCTAGGCGGTGAAGACGGTAGAAGCACGTTCAACACCCGGTATGCGCCCGGTGAGAACGGTCAGAAGATGGCAACGAAACGGTGAAAAGATTAATTTTATGAATTTTTTTTTGCGGCCGGGGACAAGTTCGCTCAAAACCCAACGTTCTGGACTCTGTTGTTTTTTTAATAGACCGGCAGGTGGACGGTAGGCCTACACGGCAGAGTGTGAGAGCTCCATTAGCCATTTTTGTCTTGTTTGGAATTGTCTTGTCTTGTATGAAAATACCGACCAATTCCTCGCACACGTACGGTATCCTCGATCGCTCAAACCATTCTGTAACATGTAAACCTATGGGGTAACCATGGAGACTGAACTATTTTCCCGGTAACCATGGTTACTGGGATTTTAGAACTGTTTTAACCATGGTTACTGGGAATTTTACAGAAATAGTTAAAGTTTATGAATGCAATTTCGACCAATCAGATGGCTGGATTTCTTAAGTGAGGTATATAAAGGTAAATATAAACAGCCTATTAACCCATGGGTTACGAAGGGAATTCTCACATCAATAAGGAAAAGAAACAAACTGTATAAACTTAGTTTACCCCTTCACAAGTAAGCTAACCAGTATCATAAGGCCATCCAAAAAAATATATATTTTCAAACAAATTAAAAAATGCTGAATGTAATATATCATCTACATGGACTGTCATTAAAGAACTGCTTAATAAAAAAAGTCGTACACAAAAAGATTACCCCTCTTCTATGTCGAACCATCGACCAAAATCCATATCACCAAGTTTCTCTAAAATTCTCTAACATTGAACTACCTAAGTTATCGAAATGGTTAAAAAGCAACATATTATCATTAAACCTAAAGAAGACCAATTTTATTCACTTTAGAAACTCAAGAAATCACAATATTTATAATTTTGAGCTGCTTGTCGACAATGTTCCGATAGAAAAAAGTCATGAACGAAATTCTTAGGTGTATATATGAATGACAAATGTAACTGGAATGATCATGTGAACTACCCATATTTCTCGCAATAATGGTATACTATTTAAGCTAAAATATTTGTTGCCAAAACATGTGCTTAGTATGCTATATAATACACTGGTTTTATCATATATTTCTTACTGCGATATCATATGGGCTACTCATCAGTGCAATACTAATCGTAAATTAATGTTACAGACAAAAGCAATTCGAGTTTGTACCGATGCAGGTTATAGCGACCACACTGACCCTTTAGTTGCCACATTAAAAACTCTAAAAAGTAAGTGATATACCCTACATGCAAAATCTCTCTTCATGTTTCGGCTTAAATCCGGCATTCTACCCCCATCACTAGTCATTTTATTCCAACATAATTTTCATTTTCATTCCTACCCAACCAGGCATTCCAATGACTATAAACTATTTAACGCCAAAACAGCCTTAGCTCAAAACTCAATTAGACATTCTGACCCTGATACCTGGCATGCACTACCCCCTGAAATAAAAACGATGGATACAATGCTATCTTTTAAAAGAGCGGTGAAACAGTTTCTTATTGCTCATTATCTTTAAATCCACCATCAAAATAAGTTCTCCTTGTTTCGTTACAAAACTCGATAATTTTCTGTACTCTTACTTTTTTTGCCTCCATTCATTGAAACGTTGATTATAACCATCCATGACCTGGTATGAATACACGTATGAATAAAGAGTGGCCTACTTGGGGTACAGACTAATAAACACTCTTTTGTATACAAACATTTCAAGGCTCCGACTCGCAGGCCCAGGATTTAAAACCAGCTCGCTGATCTCACATTCACATTCATATTGTCCGAACCTCGCGAGTCTTCTCATTCTATTATATCCAAAGTTGGCCACTCAGTATTCAAATTTGCGTCTTCTTATTTATCTTTATATATCAAATTGAAATCCAACTACCACATACATCTGTGAATCTTGATGTGTATCCCCTCTTTCTTTGTTTCTTCTTTTTTTCTGTCGTTTTCCCCTTTTACCAATATTTTTTCCTCCATATTTGTATTATTATGTATCCTTTAAGGGTAGTCATACTATCAAGCTTTGCTTACTTTATCAACCCTCCTGTTTGATGCTTTCGATTAGTTACAGCCAGCCTTACCTTATTCTACATACTCGTCTTTTGTCATGTGTAAATTTGCAATGTTTGTTTGTTATATATTTGTAAAAATGCAAAAGAAAAAGAAAATTAAACAGAAATAAAGAAATCAAATCAAATAAAAAAACAGGTTTTATGAAACCGACCCCTATAGTATAACTAATTAGGGGATATGCTAATTGGGATTTCTGCAAATTTGCCTAAGTTGTGTTCTATATCATGTATACAGTAGGCAGCTAAACATAATGCGTCAGAACACGGGGATACAGTCAGAATGAATTTCAGTATCAAAACATAGGAGGTATTCTGTTACTTACTACATGATGATTCATCCTCATAATTGTCACAGTCGTAATATCCATCGCAAACTAACGTTACTGACACGTTCATGATCGATCCCAAACAAGGAAAGAAATCTGAAACAGAAAAAGGACGATGTGTGTTTTAGGAGTTTTCACCTACTTCGGATAATAAACATAAGCTTTTAATAATAATAACCCTAATCTCTGCTTCTGTATAATGACAATTAAGATAAACTGATGCATTTTCAGTTACAATTGATCTGACACATAGACTATTGCATATGCTCTTTTGTGTTAATACTATTATTACGTGTTAATGAAAGGGAGCCCGACTTAATAATTACGCTACAGGCTGTTGGTATTGGCGAGAGGTGGGATACTCATTTATTAGAGATTAATGTCGGCAGATCTTGAACTGTACATGTAGTTTTCAACCTAGATCGATGAATACGCTCTTCTTAATCGTGTTGGAAAATGTTTGTTAAAGTTGGTGGGATATGTACTTCTGTATTCGGGCAGCCTTCCCACGTCCTGTTTTATATCTAGCGGTGTCACTGTATATTAATCAGTAAAGCTATTTATATGTAACTTCTGTTACCTCGAGTAATTTTATTAGTGGAAAAATCCACAAGGAATTGAACAGTAATAATCCGATTGATGCAATTATACTCACTCAGCAAATCAATGGCAGTAATACCAACACCCATTCGGGAATGACTGTATTGCCCTGGTCCTATGGCGGCAAACCACATCTCATTGTTATCTACATAAACATGATCAGGAGCGTAGTGTGCATATCCATGGATAGTTGTGATAACAGACTGTATATCAGATGGGTCGTTACCTGTTCCTAATTGGACTATACTATCATCATCAGAGAGTCGAAAATTTTGAAACACAACTTGAAATCCATTCGTGGCGTTCGTTTGTAGCAAGGTTGTTTTATACAACTGTATTTCAGAGGTTTCTGGAAAGGAGATGAAATGTGATTCGCCTTCCGGAAGATAAGTTGCTGAATAATCTGTCAGATTTTTTTTTTTTTTTAAGAATGAAAGAAAAACAAGAAATTAAAAGAAAAACAAGTAACTTTCGCATCTGTAGATGATTCTGATCAATCCTTCAACTTGAGATTGTTGGATAAGCACTGACTAATTTTGGAGACTCTCCTAAAAAAAAACCTGTATTATCCATACGATTTGACCGACTTAAAGGGATCGTTTTACAATGTAAAATCTGAGATACACGGCCCTACGTGTTATCAGTGTGTGTGTGATATGGTGTAATATTAGTGAAGTCCTAACAAAAATGCGCTTCAAAATGATCAAGAAGTGCCTCAAAAAAGTAAAAAATCTTCGAGTAACGGTTTTAAAAATTTGTAATTCCAATCATAAATATCTTGATAATCAGACAGGCGATTGGCTTGTAAAATTCACGGGGTTCCTGACTGACCTAAAGGTTTATAATTATCATTGCAGCATGAGCTAAATCCAGAATTTTGTTTCAGAATCTGAGACAAGTTACCTAGACCATGAAGTTCATTCCCCAAAAAGTTTTTGACCTCGCCGTATATGTCAGAGCTCCCAAAAGCTACCTCACGCACAAAATTTCGTTGGTTGAAAGTACGATTGGACATTACAAACACGAGAAAGATCACAAGGGATTGGTTAAATGAGACGCCCCTTAAAGAGTGGGGGCATTTCCCCTAAAAATCGTATGGAGAAAATTTATATGGGAATCAATCTATGTTCATTACAGTATATAAAGACTGTCCTATCATGAGATGCAGACATACGACTTCATATTGACAAAATTTGTTGCTTGGACCCGACTTCATGAAGTCAGGTGGCTTAATGAAATTACCCTTACTCGGTGGATAAAAGCACTATATTTTGGTATGACTTATTAATTAAAATTAGCCTATATAGGAGCCCTCCGGCGTTTAAAAAAAAGTAAAACACGAAATTTCAAGATGGTTTACATATTTGACAAAATATTACTCTTCTAACGTCCAGGGAGTCATAAGAAGCTCGGAGTGGTTGCGTAATTTGTGACTTTTAGGTAATTAGACTATATATTAGTACCATAACATTTTTTTAAATATTTCAAATACCGTCGTTATTCAACTTCCAATAAAAATCAACCCTCTTCAGGGGCGGATTTCGGAATTTTCGAAGAAAGGGGGGGGGGGGTTCAGACCCATCAGATTTGTTCACACACACAATACAAACAATATTTAAAAAAATGATATGCACAGTATGATTTCTAGCCAGTCACCTATTCGAAACGTTCACCACATACCAAACAGATAATAATCCATGGGGGGGGGGGGGGGGGGGGTGGGGGGAGGGTTGACCCCCACCTCCCTGGATCCGTTCATGTGCTTTTCTGGTCCGTGTCTGAAGTTCAATGTTATCACCCAATAAGTGGATAATCGATCTAAATTTTCCTGACTATCTCACACCACGGAGATTAGACAATTCCATGTGGCTGAAATGGATTGCAGTTTTCTCAATTTTCTAAGTATGCTTGATGTTACCTTAATAATGATGATCATTATCATAATGTGAATTACTTACATGAATGTAATGAGGATCTGTGATTACAGTCGCTAACTTCACGTACGCGCACGCGCCTGCAACCCACCGTCGGTCCTATACGGTATGCAATTGTATTGTGCAGCGGTTTGCCGTGAAACCTGTAAGAAAGTATATTTTATAATGTCTTCGTTTTTAGGAAAAATACTCCAAAAAAGATAAGAAAATTGACACGAAATAGGTAAGAAACATACGACTTTAAAATCATGACCATTAGTTGAACAACTGATGAAGATTTAGTTGGTTTTTGGTATGTTTTAGTAAGGTATATCCATGCCGGAGTTACGGGTCAAAGTCTGGATATGATTCTGTACTAGCACCGTGCATCCTTGGTGGGTGGCAGTTTGTCCATTGCTCGATTCTTATAGCAGAAGAGTTTCCTTCTTGTCTCGTTGACAGAGTTCAAAGAACTGGTGTTGTCATACAGGATAACAGTCAGTTTTTCGAGCTTTAGAAGAGAGTCGTCGATGAGTTCCAGGATCTGGAAAGGATGATTGGCAAGAGAGACAAATGTTTGTGTGACGTCTTTATAGGCCTGCCGGTCCAAGCTGTCAAACTGACTTCTTGCCCTTGCCATTGAAATCAGAAGGTTGTGTCACAATCTGAAAATGCGTGGAACATGGGTAATGCTCGTTGTTGTTGCTGCCCTAGGCTTGAGTAGATGGCGTTGATGTGGTAAAACCTGTATTTCTTGCCCAATGCCAAAGTCCATCCAGATGTTAACCAAAGGTTGAGTTCAAATCAGTTTATGGGATGTGCCAACAAGGATTACTACAAAATATGTGTCCACAGTACGCACGTTGATAGTCTTTCCCCCGTGTTCATGAACCACAACTCTGGTGTCCGCCTCCTCATGATTGCAGTTTTGCATGGGGATGCTAGTACCAATGGATTTCACACACATTTTTCGGATGTGACATACACAGCTTTGGCTGGCGGAAAGTTGAAATATTCAATCTTGGAAGTTAAAAAGGCAAACAGCTCTTTTTTGTTGAGTGGGTCACTGGGAAAGTCCATCCAATTGCCTAGTAGTTTGATCTCACCCGACTCTTTCCTGCGCACATCCTTGCCTCTCTTTTCCCAGGTAGATTTTTTCAAACTATCTGGGATGTTTGTGTCCCACACAACATCCAACTTCGAGACATCATGCAGCTGCTTCTCCAGATAAGGGATGAATACCCTGTCTGCATACTCATGGAAGGTGCTGACGCTGGTATTAGGCAGACAAGTGCGATGACGGCACCATCCAGGACTTTCCAGTCATAGGTATAAAGTGGCTCTGATTGACCAGGTTGCTCAAGACATTTCATGAGGTCCGGCTTCGTGCTTGGCAAATGAAGCTTGTTAAAATCTGAGAGGGAAGGAGGGAAGGACTGTATCTCATGTGTAAAGGACTCTGCCAAGTCACCATCCCGATTGTGCATAGATATGTACAGCTGGCCAAAGAGTGCCACTTTATTTTGAAGCTCTTTGATCTTCTTCCCCTGCTTAGATGTTACCTTACGTTTAGGTTTACTGAATAGTGCTAGATAATTCCTCTTGATTGGGTCAAATATGGCGTGGCTACGCACATCAAGCACATTCTCGACAAAGTTCTAGTACTGTTGCCTGCCTGTATCCCCAAGGTGTGCAATACGGCTACCACTGATTCATCCGCGCAGTTGCGACTATCAAGAGTTACTATATCTGAGAAATCGTCTAAGAATGGGATTGCCTATTTGTCTAATAGTATCGAAGAGGTTGACAACCTGTCGCTGGAAGTTCTTCAGTGTTGACAGATCCTGCTCATGGTGGTGAAATTTCTCCGGGATCTCTGTGTGATCATCAGGAAGGTATTCTTCTTCAAATTTCTTCAGCAACCTGGACATCTCTGTTCCCGAAATCATCCATCGTCGAAAAGTCACAGGGTTTTCTGTGAGCCCAACAGCTTCACCAGAACCTTTCACAATCTTGTTCTCCTGCTCATGAGCTTGATCAAATGGGATCGCAGAGAATTTGTTACTTCTCTTGGAAAGGACCCAGTGGGAAAAATTCTGAAACTCATTCTTGAAATTGTCGGGCAAGGACTTCATATCTCTGATGTGGACAGGCATCCATCGTGGCATTCATCGTGAGTAGTTCACATTATCCAAGGCAATGAACAGTGGTGTGTGTTTATCCAAGACTTCAACATACAAAGGGAAATTCTTCTCTCTGTGAGCCCCGATGAAGATGAGAATAAGGGTTTCATATCTCATAATCTGGTCCCAGTACATGAAAGTAGGACTTCTCTTCCTCAAGTTGTTTCTCCAAGCCGTGGCAGACTCTTCATCTTTGGGGCCCTCGCTGAGCATGACAGCTTCACTCTGAAGATGTTGCAGAGTCAAAAGAGTGATTTGGTGGGCGTGCCTAGTTCGAGTTGGATGTGCTGCCTTCAGATACGAATCCGCCGTGTCAGATGACGCTACCTCTGCCTCTGTGAGGGCTTTAGTCCAGCCAGAACTTTCTAAGACATCCCCAAGTGTATTCAAGAGTGCCATTTCTGTGTGCAGACCACCTAGCATATAACCACATGCCCTCTCTCACCATGCATGTCTGGCCATTGCCACTGTACAAACTTTGCCAGGGAAAACAGAGGCTGGTCAAATGTAGTGACTTTGATTTGTCCTGGGTTCAGAAATTCGAAAACTTGCCTCTCGACATCAATGCCATGTTTGATCATAGCAGTAGTGGTAGACTTCTCATAGAACAGAGGAAGAAGTACTTATTGTGCTGGATGGTCTTTTACCCGAGGTTTATTAAAGACATGATAGGTTCTATTGTCTCTAGAAGTGGCAGAGAATGCTCTACTCAGCTGTGTTCCCCTGCTCTGGCTTCATCTATTAGTACCTCTCGACTGGACACACATAACTTTCTGGCACCGCAACAGCAGTTGTCTTCAAAGCTATGGCTGGTACATAGGCGTAGCTGTCAGGAAGAGCGTGTTTTTGATTTCCAGATTTTCAGAAGGTGGTATCATAACAGATGCTCTGCTCTCATCCGGTTTGGTCTTGGTAGGCAACTGTAAAAGGCTGATTCCAGCCCATGGAATGATGTTATGAAAGGGGTTGAGCTCGGGTTGTGGTCTAGATTGTCGAGGGCGCCAACAGTGAACAAAACTCCATCTTTTACATAGCGTTCACAGGTAGGAGTGGCGATCTAGTCCTCAATCTTCATAATCCTGTCATAAGGAATGCTGACGCCAAAGTGATATGACTGATCAATGAGTTTCTTGCTTCTGGTCACGCTCCAGAGTGTTGCTGGTCTTCACAGCAGTATCAGAAGACCGTTTCTTTGTATTGTAAATGATACCTGGCTGATTGTGAGGCAAGCCTGGGAATCACGCTTGTCTTGATCTTTTAAGTTTGGACCATTCAAGATCATGGAAACAAGAGACTTGATGCTTGAGGGAAGTCTTCCTGACATTTTCCCAGGAAGCAACCAGTAAACTTAAAGCCTTGATGGCTAAAGATGTTTTTTTCTTAATTGTAGCAGCTTTGGCCAGGATAACAGCGTCTTCTGAAAGTCTCGATTCTTTAGAGCTTTTTTCAACATATTTCGCATGCCTTCCTTGAAAATGAGAACAGTGTGCCTCCCATCATGCTGCTCTTGTTCCTCTGAGATGCATTCTAACAAACGACCCTTCAGTCTTGTATTGTTGCCTTGTTTCTTGATGCCCAGTCCTTTAAGACGATTCACTTACATACAGTAAACCTCATTCAACTATAAGAGGAGAATTTCAGAATCCACAGATGTCTCAATGTAGCTGGTCAGGTACACAAATGCCCCGAGACTAATTCATTTTCTCATCAAGTTTTCAGGTGTTCAGCCTTGTTACAAGTCATACCTATTTCAGCCTGTAGTCATGTCTTTGCTATTGTCTAAAGATATGAAGTGGGGTTAGCTTATTAGCCTATTCATATTCATGAGTTCCTTCCTTTTGTCCAGCACAGTCTTAGGCTTCCTGCAAGTTTCGAATTATAATCTCTATTAAAATTAGGGTGATTCGGATAGTTTTCTTGCAAAGTTTTGTTCTTAAGCAGATAAAGGCAATATTTTCGTAGCTTGGGTATATATCGAAATTCCTTATACGGGAGGAATCCTAGTTAGAATTAACATTTGTCACTTAAAGCTTATGATCTGGAGAGGAAAGACCTCTGAGTGACTAATATCTTAGAGCAGCCGCAGCAGTTAGCCAGCTAGGGGTTCGGTGGCTTCAGCTAGGCTGAAAGAGTCGGGCGACGGCAGGTGTTTGGGCTGCACCTTTTGAAACTGAGCGAGGCAGTTTCTTGTGTTTCTAGCTTGCACCTAAATTGTCTGTACTGGACACGGGCTGCTCCTGTCTTCCAAGCTTTCTTGTCACCAGTTAAACTGTAAGTGAATTCTACTTATTTCTCTTTTGCAGTAATTTAATTAAGCAAATTGTCAGAGATATTAATTAATGGAGAAATAAGATAAGCCTGGGTGACAGTAATTTAAAGGCTCTTTTGACCTGAATCCCTAAGTGTAAATCATTTTATGATTAAAGTCTTGCATATATAATATTATCCTTGACAGAGAAAAGGAATGTTTCTTATTTCAAAATGGATGCTGTTCATTTTTTTATCTAGTTGTTACGTGTTATATGATACCAGGAATATGAAGATATTTTATGAAATTAGAATATGAGTTATCATTTGCATGTTGATTATTCTTGGAATAATTAGGGTTATTATAACAGCGTAAAGATGAAGAATGTATTTGGTTAAGGATAGGTAGTTTTAATGCCTCGGTATTTCATTATTGTAAATGGCGTTAACTACATGTATGGCGTAAACTTCAGCGTAAACTTCCATGTTATGCGGTTGTCACATCCCGCCGTACTTGCAAGTGCGTGCTGTCTACGTGCAAAAACGTGGGCAAAATTTGGGTATCCGTACGTGATGAGTACCGCCTCCGTACGGATTTGGGAGCACGCAGACACACCGTAGCACTTTTAGTGCATGAGGAACTTTCGCTGCGTTCGGGCTGCGTTCGGGCAACCGATTCACCCCAGTGCGTGTGACGTGCGTGCCCGGTACTGCCAACGAGCGCACAACGCACTGACTCCGTGCGTCTTTTAAAGGCGCACGTGATAAGTGCGTGGTCCGTGCTATTCGTTCTGTTCAGCTATCCAATGAGCACGCAGAACTCACGTGGACCGTACCGAGTGAGCACTTACAACGCACGTTGTTCGCACTGATTTATGCAGTATATAGTCTCTTCGGTGGAATGGGCGGCATCTTGAGGCAGCAACAGCTGGGACTTCTGGAGAACATCGGAATGTCGTCCTATATAAACACCGAGTTCATCGCACGTGCACGCACCTACAACATGCGAGTGAGTAAGGACACATTACGTGAGCAGCACTTGTAAGTACGGCCTCCGTACGATAACGTGGCAACCGCACGGAGACCGTATGTTGTAAGTACGTTGTAAGCACGTTGTAAGCACGTACAACGCACTTACCACGTGCGCAACGTACGATGCACGCAACCGTTCACGGCCAGGCGTGGCGTGCGGGCCACGTACTTACACAGTGCGTGTGACGCGCGTTGTCGGTACTCCCTCCCTGCCTTTGTCACTCCCTCCCTACGTTTTCAGAAAAACGTGGCGGCCGTGGCCTCCCCAAAAACCGTACGGACTAAAAACACGCACGGTGGGATGTGACCAACGCTTTAAGGATGTAAACCATGGTGTAATCTATGGCGTAAACTGTGATGTAGTTAACGTACACGTAATTCCCATGTGCACTCCAATACCCGAGGTGTCTAGTGTAGTCCTGCGAACGTCGAAGACTTCGACCTCGACCACATTAGACATGATTTTTTTTTTCAAAACTTCCGGAGGGCTCATAGGCTAACATTAGTTGACGAAACGAGCTAGAAATGACACGCAAGCCGCCAGAATTTATGGACCCCAACAACGACAGGGCCATCGACAAGAGGCTTTACGCAGCCGTGCCCAAAAATACGCCGCAAATTTGAAGGTAGCAGTCACACTATTGCGTATCTAGCTCGTAGGTTCAGATTCTGATGCAGTTTCAGCTCGTATGCTGCTCGTACCAAAGACTGCCTATGGTTGCCTATGACCACGTTACAGTTCGTTGTGGCTCGTAGCAGTACGAGTCAATACGCTGGCTGTTCGTACTGCTGCGTGCCAGCTAGCTCTACAGCATACCAGCTCAATAAGGCTGGGGCGGTGTATACATACTAGTCATAAGCATCTTAGTTTCTGACGAGTCTACATCTTGTATAGCCGATATGCAGCGCAGCGACGGTGGTCGGTGCATTTTACCCAATCGCAGTGATAGCAAGCTAAACCGAGCGGCAACTATACAGCGACTGCGAGCTAAAGCGAACGGCGTACGAGCTAGACTCGCAGCGTAGCAAGTGGTAATCGCGCAAGGCCTCGTGACTCTGGCTATTTTCCACCCCAAACAGCGGCTGAGATGAGTCTAGATACCCGGGGTGAACGCGCGACCGAGTGGCGCTAGCCACGAGGCCTTTTGCAATCTAGATTGTACTACTCTGCATGAATTATTCATTACTTTGGATTTATTGACCAATCAGAACGGCCATCTCCCAGTTAGCTTCGTTCGTGATTCGTTCATTATCAAAACATATAAGAAAAGGTAAAATACGTAAATAAGTCTTGCTTATGAGATGGACATATAAATGATAGATACAAAATATCACATTCAAATCTATTACATGCAAAATTATAATAAAATAGCAAACATTTTATGACTTATGCAACAATCATACGTGAGATAATTGGACTTTCCCTGTATATAAAAAGAACCAGTCCAACTCGTTTTCGTTCCATGTAGAGGTTAGTGGTCTTAGCCCGTACGTCATTCTTAGTTCATAGTAGACTATGTTCGTACTGCGTAGAGTTTACTGTGCTTGTGTGTGTATGTGTGTGTGTGATGGATACTATATGCTGACGTCATGCGAGGATACGTTCGCTGATTGGACGCTACCATTTCGGTAGAGAATTCCAGTCGGAAACAAAGGTTAACATAAGATATCCAATCTAGATTACTAAAGGCTTCTTGACTGCGCTACTCGCCTGGACGGTCTCTTGGGTTTCCGCGATTAGTCTCTTGTTAGTCGATCGGCGTCTATCGGACATGTGGCCTTGTTTAAAGGCTACGGTTCTTGTTGTTGTGAGCGGTGTGCGAGAGATAGAGAGAGAGAGAGAGAGAGAGAGAGCGAGAGAGCGAAACAATACGTGCAATCATGCTAACGGCATTGGGCTAAATCGTGCAGGAAACGCAACTAAAGGCAGTGACACGCGCTCAATCCAAAAAAAAAAAGAGGTGCGTATGATTCGTATACCTGCGCTAAGCCACTTGCTGTTGCTCGCATTCACTGGTTGCCACTCGTATCCGCTCGTAGGCGATTTGACCTTGCGTTTGCTTGCGATAGTTTAGAAAATTGTAAAACTAGCGCGGACCAACGCATGTCTATATGCGCTAGTCTGTGTATTGAGTACGTAGTTAGCACATTTAATTGCGCAAAGGTACGCAAATGTGTGACCGTGGCATATAAGGAAGCCTCGTGCCAAATATGGTGCTTTTATCCGCCGAGTAACGGTATCCTTAAAATTTAACACTAAGCCACCTGACAATTAAAGGGGGAGTGTAACAGGACAGCTTCACTCAACCTACCACACGTTTCATCAATGACCTAGATGACCTCAATCAATTGAGGGGTAAAATTGTATGATCGAAATGATTGACTATTCAGGTCTTTGTCTTCTACCAAGTTTTGAAAAGTCGTGTGAACAACATGGAATACCCTAATAAGCTGGGAGCCAAAAAGCCATTAAAATATCCAAAAAAAGTCCCCAAGACAGACAAAACAAGTTACTCTTCTAAATGATGGAGAACATTCACCATAAAATGCAAGAAACTAACGAATTTCACAATTTCATAAAACAGTGGAGAAGAATGTGATAGAATGCGAAATATATGGCCTTCTTTATACTATTTTGCTGGTAAAACTGGAAACATGGTTTATCTTTATCACTCGACCTGTGTTGAACAATTCTTATTTTACAACTGGTAAGATACCAGTAATCACTGCTTCAATACACACAGCTTTAGATTCCACCGATTTTTTTTTAAATAAAATTAATTCAACACTCACTTGATAGGTCAATGGAAATGATCTCAACGTCCATTCCAAGCTCGGAGTCACTCTTTGCTCCTATGGCAGCAATCCACATCTCATTGTTATATACATATACATCGTCAGGAGCGTAGTGTGCATATCCATGGACAGTTGTGATAACAGACTGTATATCAGATGGGTCGTTACCTGTTCCTATTTGGACTATATCATCATCATTATGGAGATACAAATCTTGAAACACAACTCGAAATCTATTTGTAGCGTTTGTTTGTAGTAAGGTTGCGTTATACAATCGTGTTGTAGTGGTGGTTGGTAAGGAGATGAAATGTGAACCGCCCTTCTGAAGATAAGTTGCTGAATAATCTGTAGGGAAAACAAAGACAAGAAATATAAAACAACACAAGAAAAAAAGGTCACCTGTAGACGATTTTTATCAGTTCTTCAACAAGAGATTGATAAATAATCTTCATCATATTGCACTGATAGCTAGTCTGGGGACTCTCCCGAAAAACCCTTTATTATCCATGCAATTTGAAGTCCTTAATTTACTTAGAGGAAAGATCATTCCCCCCAAAAAATTGTCGACCTGAACGTATCTGTCAGAGTTCTCAAAACATACCCAAAAGTCAAGTTCAAGTTCAAGTTCAAGTTCAAGTTCAAGTTTATTTGTCTTTCTTCCAACATAAATGTAATACAATTTAACAAATGTATAACATGCAAAGTATATAAGAGGAACACTTATAAGAATCAAGTTCATACAATGCATTTACATGAGAAAACAAAAGAAGAAAAGACGAGGAGACCTAATTAAAGCTTAGCTTGTAGAGGTCAGGTCCCTCAAAAACAATAACATAAACAACAAGAACAGCCTGGTTATATAATAGATTAATACAAGAAATGTTCGTCAAAGGCGCTAAAGTACTAAAACAAATAACTATAAACAATAACCATATTATTATACACATGGTTTAACTGAGTAATAAAAAAGGGTGGGGAGAAGAGACTATGTACAAAAGGGGGAAATAAGAGTGATAATAATGTGGGTTATAAGAAATGGAGAGAGGGGGCGGGAGTGGGAAAGAGAGGGAGAGCTCGAGTGGGGGGGAGAAAGAAAAATATATATATAAACTTTGCCTTGCATGGGGTAAGTGGAATGCAGAAGCACCTCTTGTGGCATAATTGTGAATTTGATTGTTTCTCTTAAAAATCTTGGCTAATGCCAGTGGCAGTACACCTGAGTTGAGATCATACATTAAGGTACCCAATTGCATATAATGAATATCTTCTACCTTTAAAATCCTATGATGATAAAAAAAGAGGATTTGTATGAGCACGAAAGTCAGCATTACAGATTGTTCTTATTACCCTCTTTTGAGCCAAGAATATTTTATCTAATTGTGTTATTAGAGATTTGCCCCAAGCAAGCACACCATAATTAATATAAGGTAGAATTAAAGTTGAATACAAGATAAGTAATATGCTTTTAGGAAGAGTAGAATTCAACCTACGAATTACACCAGTATTCCTTGATAATATTTTGCATAGATTATTTACATGAGTTTTCCACTTCAATTGTTCGTCGATATAAAGACCTAAAAATTTAGTTGATGTTACCCTGTCTATCAGAACACCGTTGAACATAATGTCACCGGGCAACATCTTGAGCGAATTGCTATATATGATATAATTGGTTTTTGTAAGGTCGGTTTCAACCCATCTACCTCACGCACGAAATTTCGCGGGTAGAAATTATGACTAGGCATTCCCCCCCCCCCCCCTAGATCCGCCACTGTTGGATTCTACCAAGTTGTAAAAAGTCGTTGGAACAAAATTGGATACCTTAGTAGGCCTAGAGCACAAAAGACATATATAACCCCAGTGACTAAAATAAGTCCACGAGACAGACCGTACAAGTGTGTCTTCAAAACAATGAAGAAAGATCACCATTTAAATGCATGACACTAATGAATTTTAAAACTGTATAAAATAGTGGAGAAGAATGTGAAAGGATGCGAAAAATGTGGCTTTAAATTCCGTACTCGTATTCCAACAATTCCGTGTTCGTGTACCTGGTACCTGTTTCATAGAAACCTGTTATCAGTAACAAGTTACAATAACTGGTAGGCTACTTAAATAGTGGCATTTGATCAGCTGAGAGCACATTGGTCATAAAATCCTAGAATAATTTATTATCAACCTTGGAATAGACACTTTATTTCTTCCAAGTTTATTGGTAACGCTATTCCTGTTTTCTATAATTTCATTGACAATGTTATATAGAACCTGATTATACATGTTATACAATGTATTACTTTAATACCGTGTATACTACATCTACAGTGTTATATCTCTTACGAACATTTTTCCATCCTCCTACCTTTCATTTTTCTTCTCTTTATCGTTACTTCTTTCTTCTCTCCGTATCCTCCCTCTACCAGCTTTCCCAGTTTAAGAGAGAATATTTTGTGTGTTTATTATAACGTTACGGAGAGACTGTAGTTCACTCTACTATAGACAAAACAAACTCGGCCTGATATTTCGTATGTTTAAATTGAAATGCATATGTAAATCAGATCTGTGTTTCCTTATGTATTTTTTTGGATTTCTAGACATCGTAGGGTGCATGCTTATATATTTATTACTTCATACCAGGTCATGGATTCATTTATTACTTGTACTCTTTAAATGATTAACGTTAACGACGTAACTGTTAACGAACAACTATCTGTCGATTGTCATTATTACTTACCAGAAGAATTTAATTCTACAGTTACAGGTAATTATTTTACAAATTTTGGTCTATGTTACTCTAATGCCAGAAGTTTGGTTAAAAATTACGATAAAATTTGTTCATTGTTGTCTGATATTACATTTCCATTCTCTGTAATTGGAATTACTGAAACCTGATTGACTGATAACTCTCCGAACTTATTTGAAATTCATAATTATTCAATTTTTAACCATGTCAGACTAACTAAAAGAGGATGCGGAGTCGCCCTTTATATTTTACAAACATTATCATATAAAGTTAGGCTAGATAATAGTGCAGAATTACTTTGTGTCGAAATCGATATGGGAAAAGAAAAAAACATTATTATATGTGTAATTTACCGACCTCCAAACAATTATAGACCTATTCCTGTCTGACTTTGACACTGTATTACATAACCTTAATGATGAAAATAAAGTTATGTGTTTAATGGGTGATTACAATATTGACCTTATCAAGGATAATAATAACATCAACCGATTTCGTACACTCATGTACTCTAATGCACTTTTCCCAACAATTGATAAACCTACACGGATAGATACCCACTCACCATCCTTAATAGACAATATAATTATTAATATAGTTATCGGATGACTTGGGTCAGGCTTAATATACTCTGAGATCTCAGATCATCTACCACTGTTCCTAATACTTGAAAACAATACTTAAACCTCCAAAAACGAACAAAAAAGTTAAAGTCCGAAGATTTACTGAGCGGAATATATCTCGACTAATAGAAAAATTAGAATCCGAAAATTGGGGAGATGTTTTATCGTGCAATAATGCAGATGATACATATTGCTTATTTTGGACAAAATTTTAATCGTACTTTGATACATGTCTCCCAAAGCTTAATAATAGAGGTAAATATAAACAGCCTATTAACCTATGGGTTACGAAGGGAATTCTCACATCCATAAGGAAAAGAACCAAACTGTATAAACTTAGTTTAAACCACCCTACCCCTTCACATGTAAGAAGTTATAGGAAATATAGAAATAAGCTAACCAGTATCATAAGGCCATCCCAAAATATATATTTTCAAACAAATTAAAAAATGCTGAAGGTAATATATCATCTACATGGAATGTCATTAATGAACTGCTTAATAAAAAAAGTCGTACACATACTCAACAAATCTTTGATATAAATGGTCATAAAGTAGATGAGCCAGATTTGATTTGATTGGATTTGATTTATTGGTTTCTTCATCTTTTTTCTGTTTTTCATCATACATTTTCATGATTATAATATGGCTTGATACAATATTTCAAGTGTATATAATTTTATACAGATAATAAACGATATTAAACAAATAAATTGAATTTAAACAAATATATTGAATGCATAATTAACATACATTAGATGCAGGAGGGCTACAGAAATAAGCAAAGTAGCTTGACGTGCTCGCAGCCCTCAACTTAGATACAACAACACAAATAAAAAATAAAAAAGAGTGACTTGCAGAGAAGAAAAGGAAAGGGGTGAGAAGAAGCGTTGGTAATATAGGATTTCCCGGCCAAATTCGCGAGTTTGTCATTCGAATTCATTTACTTTGCATTTAAGTTAGCGCAGATCGGCTTTGCTATGCCAATTATCATTCACTTTTCCAGTTTTTGTATTTAATTTAGGATTTGGGTCGAAGGGTTTCATAGATATGTCATTCAATTTAGAAACTGCTCAACTAGCATTCAAATTAATATTCACTTGTCGAAGCGTAATTTTTATCATTCAAATTAACACCTGTCATTCGTATTCGTAATATTTTTATTCAAGTTAGGAATGTTAGGGGAAGAATTGCAACAAACTTTTACAGTTTTTAAATAATGCAGTTAAAATGCATGATTTGCCATTAGGGTCTAAGCTGTTATTTCATTTATTTATTTTCAGGACAATGCAGATGGGTGAAGTCAGACATAAAGTAAAGAAGGGGCGAAATCAAGCCTATGGCATTTCTGCACGGACATGTTCATATACCCGGGAATGGTGGGGGTACCCTCAATCGCCCCTTTTTACTACAGACTCGGAATTTTACAAAAGTAATTCACATCGTCTCTTATACCCAGTACACCCCTCTGTTTTTCTTATAGAGTTTCATAGTTTACTTGCCCGCCAGCAGATCGATGGCTAAAGACTTGGCTAAATAATGAATCATGTTCAAATTGTTGACCCTAGTCCCTACCCCAGTCACAATATTGTACCCTTCTTCCATAATGAAATTATGATGAAATTATGATAAATGTATGATGAAACATATTAAGACAAACCACTTCCTTACATGAACATTTACAAATATATTGAGACCATCAGGTCCGTAGATGCAAGTCGTTTTTTTTTCTTCTTGACAATCAAACTTAAATGCTGATGAATATCAGATAAATCTAATAAGTATAAGTGTATAAATGCAAGAAAATGAAATATGATGAAATGCACATGAAAAACAATCTTGAAAGAAAAAGAATGAGCTATAAAAAGTGTGTAATAAACGAGAAATGTATATTGACCATCAATTTAAATGCACAAAGTGCTAATTTGAATGCTACAAATTAATTAGAATGCTAAAAGTAGGCCGTCGCGTTGTCAGCAAATCGTGTTGCGCCAAATCGAATGACCAAATAGCGAAAGAAGCACATTATTCATTAATTTGAATGAAAGATACGTAGATTCTAACGAAAATTCCATAGATTTGAAAACTAGAAAAGGGAATATCAACTCGAGAAATACCTGACTGCACTAAAACCGTCGAATTTGAAAGCAAGACAAATTAATTTGAATGACAAACTCGCGAATTTGGCCGGGAAATCCTATAATACAATAAATCTGATACATCTGCTGATTGAATGCAGGTTCATTCATGAATGGAAAAACGATGCCGGGTCATGGACGATTGCACAAATTTGTTTAATGAATATTTTGTTAATATAGGCCCTGACCAGGCTTCCAAAATCGATAGACATAATCATGACTTTAAGGAATTTCTCCCAGAATCATCTTACCCTTCGCTCTATTTATATCTGACAGATTTTATTGAAATATTAAATATTGTTTGCTCATTAAAATCCAGCCATATTATTATTATTATAGCCATGACGAAGTTAGCACCCATTTGCTTAAAACCATTATAGGCAGTATCTTATCAGCTCTAGTTTACATTTTCAATCTTTCGCTGTCTTCTGGTGTTGTTCCAGCTTCTTTTAAGACGGCTAAAGTCATACCAATCTATAAATAAAAGATTACCCCTCTTCAATGTCGATCCATCGACCAATATCCATATTACCAAGTTTCTCTAAAATTCTCTAATATTGAACTACCTAAGTTATCGAAATGGTTAAAAAGCAACATATAATCATTAAACCTAAAGAAGACCAATTTTATTCACTTTAGAAACTCAAGAAATCACATTTATTTATAATTTTGAGCTGCTTGACGATAATGTTCAGATAGAAAAAAAGTCATGAACGAAATTCTTAGGTGTATATATGAATGACAAATGTAACTGGAATGATCATGTGAACTACCCATATTTCTCGCAATAAAGGTATACTATTTAAGCTAAAATATTTGTTGCCAAAACATATGCTTAGTATGCTATATAATAAACTGGTTTTATCATATATGTCTTGCTGCGATATCATATGGGCTACTCATAAGTGCAACACTAATCGTAAATTAATGTTACAGAAAAAAGCAATTCGAGTTTGTACCGATCGCGACCACACTGACCCTTTATTTGCTACATAAAAAACTCTAAAAAGTAAGTGATATACACTACATGCAAATTCTCTGTTCATGTTTCGGCTTAAATCTGGCATTCTACCCCCATCACTAGTCATTTTATTCCAACATAATTTTCATTTTCATTCATACCCAACCAGGCATTCCAATGACTATCACCTATTTAACGCCAAAACAGCCTTAGCTCAAAACTCAATTAGACATTCTGACCCTGATACCTGGCATGCACTACCCCCTGAAATAAAAACGATGGATACAATGCTATCTTTTAAAAGAGCGGTGAAACAGTTTCTTATTGCTCATTATCTTTAAATCCACCATCAAAATAAGTTCTCCTTGTTTCGTTACAAAACTCGATAATTTTCTGTACTCTTACTTTTTTGCCTCAATTCATTGAAACGTTGATTATAACCATCCATGACCTGGTATGAATAAACGTATGAATAAAGAGTGGCCTACTTGGGATACTGAATAAACACTGTCTTCTATACAAACATTTCAAGGCTCCGACTCGCAGGCCCAGGATTTAAAACCAGCTCGCTGATCTCACATTCACATTCATATTGTCCGAACCTCGCGAGTCTTCTCATTATATTATATCCAAAGTTGGCCACTCAGTATTCAAATTTGCGTTTTCTTATTTATCTTTATATATCAAATTGAAATCCAACTACCACATACATCTGTGAATCTTAATGTGCATCCCCTCTTTCTTTGTTTCTTCTTTTTTTCTGTCGTTTTCCCCTTTTACCAATATGTTTTTCCTCCATATTTGTATTATTATGTATCCTTTAAGGGTAGTCATACTATCAAGCTTTGCTTACTTTATCAACCCTCCTGTTTGATGCTTTCGATTAGTTACAGCCAGCCTTACTTTATTCTACATATATTCTTTTGTCATGTGTAAATTTGCAATGTTTGTTTGTTATATATTTGTAAAAATGCAAAAGAAAAAGAAAATCAAACAGAAATAAATAAATCAAATCAAATTTTAAAAAAAGGTTTTATGAAACCGACCCCTAGTATAACTAATTAGGGGATATGCTAATTGGGATTTCTGCAAATTTGCCTAAGTTGTGTTCTATATCATGTATACAGTAGGCAGCTAAACATAATGCGTCAGAACACGGGGATACAGTCAGAATGAATTTCAGTATCAAAACATAGGAGGTATTCTGTTACTTACTACATGATGATTCATCCTCATAATTGTCACAGTCGTAATATCCATCGCAAACTAACGTTACTGACACGTTCATGATCGATCCCAAACAAGGAAAGAAATCTGAAACAGAAAAAGGACGATGTGTGTTTTAGGAGTATTCACCTACTTCTGATAATAAACATAATCTTTTAATAATAATAACCCTAATCTCTGCTTCTGTATAATGACAATTAAGATAAACTGATGCATTTTCAGTTACAATTGATCTGACACATAGACTATTGCATATGCTCTTTTGTGTTAATACTATTATTACGTGTTAATGAAAGGGAGCCCGACTTAATAATTACGCTACAGGCTGTTGGTATTGGCGAGAGGTGGGATACTCATTTATTAGAGATTAATGTCGGCAGATCTTGAACTGTACATGTAGTTTTCAACCTAGATCGATGAATACGCTCTTCTTAATCGTGTTGGAAAATGTTTGTTAAAGTTGGTGGGATATGTACTTCTGTATTCGGGCAGCCTTCCCACGACCTGTTTTATATCTAGCGGTGTCACTGTCTATTAAACAGTAAAGCCATTCATATGTAACTTCTGTTACCTCGAGTAATTTTATTAGTGGAAAAAATCCACAAGGAATTGAACAGTAATAATCCGATTGATGCAATTATACTCACTCAGCAAATCAATGGCGGTAATACCAACACCCATTCGGAAACGACTGTCTTGCCCTCGTCCTATGGCGGCAAACCACATCTTATTGTTATCTACATAAACATGATCAGAAGCGTCGTGTGTATATCCGTGGATAGTTGTGATAACAGACTGTATATCAGATGGGTCGTTACCAGTTCCTATTTGGACTTTACTATCATCATCATCATAATAGAGTCGAAAATTTTGAAACACAACATGAAATCCATTCGTGGCGTTTGTTTGTAGCAAGGTTGCTTCATACAACCGTATTTCAGAGGTGTCTGGAATGGAGATGAAATGTGATTCGCCTTCCGGAAGATAAGTTGCTGAATAATCTGTCAGATTTTTTTTTTTTAAGAATGAAAGAAAAACAAGAAATTAAAAGAAAACAAGTAACTTTCGCATCTGTAGATGATTCTGATCAATCCTTCAACTTGAGATGGTTGGATAAGCACTGTCCGCCTCACAACCGGGAGGTCGTGGGTTCAATCCCCGGCCGTGTCATACCAAAAGACGTTAAAAGATGGGAGTTGCTGCTACCTTGTTTGGCGTTCAACAATAAGGGATAGAGCAACGTCGATCTGGCGCTGCTCAGTGGCTGCCGGGCTCACGATCTATTGGGAAAAAAGAATTTTCATTTCGGTTTAATAAAATTTGGAGTGGACTTAAAGATTATTATTATATTATTATATTATTATTATTATTATTTCATTTTGGAGACTCTCCTGAAAAAACCCTATATTATCCATACGATTTGACCGACTTAAAGGGATCGTTTTACAATGTAAAATCTGAGATACACGGCCCTAAGTGTTATCAGTGTGTGTGATATGGTGTAATATTAGTGAAGTCCTAAAAAACAAATGCGCTTCAAAATGATCAAGAAGTGCCTCAAAAAAGTAAAAATCTTCGAGTTACGGTTTTCAAAATTTGTAATTCCAATCATAAATATCTTGATAATCAGACAGGCGATTGGCTTGTAAAATTCACGGGGTTCCTGACTGACCTAAAGGTTTATAATTATCATTGCAGCATGAGCTAAATCCAGAATTTTGTTTCAGAATCTGAGACAAGTTACCTAGACCATAAAGTTCATTCCCCAAAAAGTTTTTGACCTCGCCGTATATGTCAGAGCTCCCAAAAGCTACCTCACGCACAAAATTTCGTTGGTTGAATGTATGATTGGAAATTACAAACACGAGAAAGATCACAAGTGATTGGTTAAATAAGACGCCCCTTAAAGAGTGGGGGCATTTCCCCTAAAAATCGTATGGACAAAATTTATATGGGAAGCAATCTATGTTCATTACAGAATATAATGACTGGCCTATCATGAGATGCAGACATACGACTTCATATTGACAAAATTTGTTGCTTGGACCCGACTTCATGAAGTCAGGTGGCTTAATGAAATTACCCTTACTCGGTGGATAAAAGCACCATATTTTGGTATGACCTATTAATTAAAATTAGCCTATATAGGAGCCCTCCGGCGTTTAAAAAAAAAGTACAGATAATAATCCATGGGGGGGGGGGGGGGGGGGGGGGGGGGAGGGTTGACCCCCACCTCCCCGGATCCGTTCATGTGCTTTTCTGGTCCGAGTCTGAAGTTCAATGTTATCACCCAATAAGTGAATAATCGATCTAAATTTTCCTGACTATCTCACACCACGGAGATTAGACAATTCCATGTGGCTGAAATGGATTGCAGTTTTCTCAATTTTCTAAGTATGCTTGATATTACCTTAATAATGATGATCATTATCATAATGTGAATTACTTACATGAATGTAATGAGGATCTGTGATTACAGTCGCTAACTTCACGTACGCGCACGCGCCTGCTACCCACCGTCGGTCCTATACGGTATGCAATTGTATTGTGCAGCGGTTTGCCGTGAAACCTGTAAGAAAGTATATATTATAATGTCTTCGTTTTTAGGAAAAATACTCCAAAAAAGATAAGAAAATTGACACGAAATAGGTAAGAAACATACGAGTTTAAAATCATGACCATTAGTTGAACAACTGATGAAGATTTAGTTGATTTTTGGTATGTTTTAGTAAGGTATATCCACGCCGGAGTCAAAGTCTGGATATGATTCTGAACTAGCACCGTGCATTCTTGGTGGGTGGCAGTTTGTCCATTGCTCGATTTATATAGCAGAAGAGTTTCCTTCTTTTCTCGTTGACAGAGCGCAAAGAACTGGTGTTGTCATACAGGATAACAGTCAGTTTCTCGAGCTTTAGAAGAGAGTCGTCGTTGAGTTCCAGGATCTGGAAAGGATGATTGGCTAGAGAGACAAATGTTTGTGTGACATCTGTATAGGCCTGCCGGTCCTAGCTGTCAAACTGACTTCTTGCCCTTGCCATTTAAATCAGAAGGTTGTGTCACAATCTGAAAATGCGTGGAACATGGGTAAGGCTCGTGGTTGTTGCTGCCCTAGGCTTGAGTAGATGGCGTTGATGTGGTAAAACCTGTATTTCTTGCCCAATGCCAAAGTCCATCCAGATGTTAACCAAAGGTTGAGTTCAAATCAGTTTATTGGATGTGCCAGCAAAGATTACTACAAAATCTGTGTCCACAGTACGCACGTTGATAGTCTTTCCCCCGTGTTCATGAACCACAACTCTAGTGTCCGCCTCCTCATGATTGCAGTTTTGCATGGGGATGCTAGTACCAATGGATGCCACAGATTTCCCGGATGTGACATACACAGCTTTGGCTGGCAGAAAGTTGAAATATTCAATCTTGGAAGTTAAAAAGGCAAACAGCTCTTTTTTGTTGAGTGGGTCACGGGGAAAGTCCATCCAATTGCCTAGTAGTTTGATCTCACCCGACTCTTTCCTGCGCACATCCTTGCCTCTCTTTTCCCAGGTAGATTTTTTCAAACTATCTGGGATGTTTGTGTCCCACACAACATCCAACTTCGAGACATCATGCAGCTGCTTCTCCAGATAAGGGATGAATACCCTGTCTGCATACTCATGGAAGGTGCTGACGCTGGTATTAGGCAGACAAGTGCGATGACGGCACCATCCAGGACTTTGCAGTCATAGGTATAAAGTGGCTCTGATTGACCAGGTTGCTCAAGACATTTCATGAGGTCCGGCTTCGTGCTTGGCAAATGAAGCTTGTTAAAATCTGAGAGGGAAGGAGGGAAGGACTGTATCTCATGTGTAAAGGACTCTGCCAAGTCACCATCCCGGTTGTGTATAGATATGTACAGCTGGCCAAAGAGTGCCACTTTGTTTTGAAGCACTTTGATCTTCTTCCCCTGCTTAGATGTTACCTTACGTTTAGGTTTACTGAATAGTGCTAGATAATTCCTCTTGATTGGGTCAATTATGGCGTGGCTGAAATTTCTCCGGGATCTCTGTGTGATCATCAGGAAGGCATTCTTCTTCAAATTTCTTCAGCAGTCTGGACATCTCTGTTCCCGAAAGCATCCATCGTCGAAAAGTCACAGGGTTTTCTGTGAGCCCAACAGCTTCACTAGAACCTTTCACAATCTTGTTCTCCTGCTCATGAGCTTGATCAAATGGGATCGCAGAGAATTTGTTACTTCTCTTGGAAAGGACCCAGTGGGAAAAATTCTGAAACTCATTCTTGAAATTGTCGGGCAAGGACTTCATATCTCTGATGTGGACAGGCATCCACCGTGAGTAGTTCACATTATCCAAGGCAAAGAACAGTGGTGTGAGTTTATCCAAGACTTCAACATACAATGGGAAATTCTTCTCTCTGTGAGCCCCGATGAAGATGAGAATAAGGGTTTCATATCTCATAATCTGGTCCCAGTACATGAAAGTAGGACTTCTCTTCCTTAAGTTGTTTCTCCAAGCCGTGGCAGACTCTTCATCTTTGGGGCCCTCGCTGCGCATGAAAGCTTCACTCTGAAGATGTTGCAGAGTCAAGAGAGTGATTTAGTGGGCGTGCCTAGTTCGAGTTGGGTGTGCTGCCTTCAGATACGAATCCGCCGTGTCAGATGACGCTACCTCTGCCTCTGTGAGGGCTTTAGTCCAGCCAGAACTTTCTAAGACATCCCCAAGTGTATTCAAGAGTGCCATTTCTGTGTGCAGACCACCTAGCATATAACCACATGCACTCTCTCACCATGCATGTCTGGCCATTGCCACTGTACAAACTTTGCCAGGGAAAACAGAAGCTGGTCAAATGTAGTGACTTCGATTTGTCCTGGGTTCAGAAATTCGGAAACTTGCCTCTCGACATCAATGCCATGTTTGATCATAGCAGTAGTGGTAGACTTCTCTTGGAACAGAGGAAGAAGTACTTATTGTGCTGGATGGTCTTTTACCCGAGGTTAATTAGAGACATGATAGGTTCTATTGTCTCTAGAGGTGGCAGAGAATGCTCTACTCAGCTGTGTTCCCCTGCTCTGGCTTCATCTAAAGCACCTCTCGACTGGAAACACATAACTTTCTGGCACCGCAACAGCAGTTGTCTACAAAGCTATGACTGGTACATAGGCGTAGCTGTCAGGAAGAGCGTGTTTTTGATTTCCAGATTTTCAGAAGGTGGTATCATAACAGATGCTCTGCTCTCATCCGGTTTGGTCTTGGTAGGCAACTGTAAAAGGCTGATTCCAGCCCATGGAATGATGTTATGAAAGGGGTTGAGCTCGGGTTGTGGTCTAGATTGTCGAGGGCGCCAACAGTGAACAAACCTTTCCGGAGACTAGCCGGAGAAACCACTCCATCTTTTACATAGCGTTCACAGGTAGGAGTGGCGATCTAGTCCTCAATCTTCATAATCCTGTCATAAGGAATGCTGACGCCAAAGTAATATGACTGATCAATTTCTTGCTTCTGGTCAGTGCATCTGCATTAATGCCAATATAGATTAGCAGGAGTGGCTCACGCTCCAGAGTGTTGCTGGTCTTCACAGCAGTATCAGATGACCGTTTCTTTGTATTGTAAATGATACCTGGCTGATTGTGAGGCAAGCCTGGGAATCACGCTTGTCTTGGTCTTTTAAGTTTGGACCATTCAAGATCATGGAAACAAGAGGCTTGATGCTTAAGGGCAGTGAGTCTTCCTGACATTCTCCCAGGAAGCAACCAGTAAACTTAAAGCCTTGATGGCTAAAGATGTTTTTTTCTTAATTGTAGCAGCTTTGGCCAGGATAACAGCGTCTTCTGAAAGTCTCGATTCTTTAGAGCTTTTTTCAACATATTTCGCATGCCTTCCTTGAAATGGGAACAGTGTGCCTCTCATCATGCTGCTCTTATTCCTCTGAGATGCATTCTAACAAACGACCCTTCAGTCTTGTATTGTTGCCTTCTTGTTTCTTGATGCCCAGTCCTTTAAGACGATTCACTTACATACAGTAAACCTCATTCAACTATAAGAGGAGAATTTCAGAATCCACAGATGTCTCAATGTAGCTGGTCAGGTACACAAATGCCCGAGACTAATTCATTTTCTCATCAAGTTTTCAGGTGTTCAGCCTTGTTACAAGTCATACCTATTTCAGCCTGTAGTCATGTCTTTGCTATTGTCCAAAGATATGAAGTGGAGTTAGCTTATTAGCCTATTCATATTCATGAGTTCCTTCCTTTTGTCCAGCACAGTCTTAGGCTTTCTGCAAGTTTCGAATTATAATCTCTATTGAAATTAGGGTGATTCGGATAGTTTTCTTGCAAAGTTTTGTTCTTAAGCAGATAAAGGCAATATTTTCGTAGCTTGGGTATATATCGAAATTCCTTATACGGGAGGAATCCTAGTTAGAATTAACATTGGTCACTTAAAGCTTATGATCTGGAGAGGCAGGACCTCTGAGTGACTAATGTCTTAGAGCAGCCGCAGCAGTTAGCCAGCTAGGGGTTCGGTGGCTTCAGCTAGGCTGAAAGAGTCGGGCGACGGCAGGTGTTTGGGCTGCACCTTTTGAAACTGAGCGAGGCAGTTTCTTGTGTTTCTAGCTTGCACCTAAATTGTCTGTACTGGACATGGGCTGCTCCTGTCTTCCAAGCTTTCTTGTCACCAGTTAAACTGTAAGTGAATTCTACTTATTTCTCTTTTGCAGTAAATTAATTAAGCAAATTGTCAGAGACATTAATTAATGGAGAAATAAGATAAGCCTGTGTGACATTAATTTAAAGGCTCTTTTGACCTGAATCCCTAAGTGTAAATCATTTTATGATTAAAGTCTTGCATATATAATATTATCCTTGACAGAGAAAAGGAATGTTTCTTATTTCAAAATGGATGCTGTTCATTTTTTTTATCTAGTTGTTGCGTGTTATATGATACCAGGAATATGAAGATATTTTATGAAATTAGAATATGAAGTTATCATTTGCAGTTTGATTATTCTTGGAATAATTAGGGTTATTCGTAAAGATGAAGATTGTATTTGGTTAAGGATAGGTAGTTTTAATGCCTCGGTATTTCATTATTGTAAATGGCGTTAACTACATGTATGGCGTAGACTTCAGCGTAAACTTCCATGTTAAGGATGTAAACCACGGTGTAATCTATGGCGTAAACTGTGATGTAGTTAACGTACACGTAATTCCCATGTGCACTCCAATACCCGAGGTGTCTAGTGTATAGTCCTGCGAACGTCGAAGACTTCGACCTCGACCACATTAGACATGATTTTTTTTCAAAACTTCCGGAGGGCTCATAGGCTAACATTAGTTGACGAAACGAGCTAGAAACAACACGCAAGCCGCCAGAATTTATGGACCCCAACAACGACAGGGCCATCGACAAGAGGCTATACGCAGCCGTGCCCAAAAATACGCCGCAAATTTGAAGGTAGCAGTCACACTATTGCGTATCTAGCTCGTAGGTTCAGATTCTGATGCAGTTTCAGTTCGTATGCTGCTCATAGTACGAGTCAATACGCTGGCTGTTCGTACTGCTGCGTGTCAGCTAGCTCTACAGCATACCAGCTCACTCAGGCTGCGGCGGTGTATACATACTAGTCATAAGCATCTTAGCTTCTGACGAGTCTACATCTTTTATAGTCGAAATGCAGCGCAACGACGGTGGTCGGTGCATTGCACCCAATCGCAGTGATAGCAAGCTAAACCGAGCGGCAACCATACAGCGACTGCGAGCTAAAGCGAACGGCGTACGAGCTAGACTCGTCGCGTAGAAAGTAGTAATCGCACAAGGCCTCGTGACTCTGGCTATTTTCCACCCCAAACAGCGGCTGAGATGAATCTAGATACCCGGGGTGAACGCGCGACCGAGTGGCGCTAGCCACGAGGCCTTTTGCAATCTAGATTTTACTACTCTGCATGAATTATTCATTACTTTGGATTTATTGACCAATCAGAACGGCCATCTCCCAGTTAGCTTCGTTCGTGATTCGTTCATTATCAAAACATATAAGAAAAGGTAAAATACGTAAATAAGTCTTGCTTATGAGATGGACATATAAATGATAGATACAAAATATCACATTCAAATCTATTACTAAAAATCTAAAATTATTAAAAATTGTATTTAAAAAAATAAAAAAATATTCAAATGGCTGACCTAAAAGGTGACCTAACCCCCCCCCCAACGGAGCAAAATGTCAAATTTAAAAATTTCTTGACCCCCCCCCCCCCCCACCAAAAAAGTGTCCTTTCATCCCCCCTCCCCCCTCCCACCTCCCCCCCCCCCCCCCGCTTATTCAGCGGCTGGCTGAGTCGTTGCGATTTGTTTTTAACAAAAACAAAAAAAAGTGTCCTCTTATCAGCCCCCCTCCCCCCCCCCCCCCCCCCCCGCTTATTCAGCCGCTGGCTGAGTCGTTGCGATTTTTTTTTAGACTAAAAATATATACATATATATATATTCTCTTTTCCACCGTTGCTCGTAGTTATCCGTGACAACTCGTAACAAATCGTGTACTGTTGCCGTAAATACATCGTAATAAAACCGCAAACAGCTCGTAATAACTCTTAAACCGGTCGTAAACGTGGCCAAATCGTAAGGATCCGTGAAAGATCCGTGAATTTGTGCGATCCGTAAGGACTCGTAAGAAAAATCCGTGTATGTGAAGGGGGTATTAGGCACACGCTTAGGTTTAAAGTTAGGTCTTTCATATGGAAATAGTGTTATGCAATCATGATCAGGACACATGCATGTTTTATATGTTTCGTACTTTTGTTTTAAGTACTTTTTGGATTCATTCTCTAGTTGAAGAAAAACATTAATTTCAAAATACACTTTGTGAAATACCAGCATGATATAATTAAAGAAAACTCTTAATTATTTCTTACTCATCACAATTAATGTGAAAATCGTTTAACAGGAGTTGAAACTACAATCTAACATTCCATGTGTGGATACATTGATCTTATGAATATTTTTCTTGTCTGTTTGGTTTACAGGGTACGGTAACCAACACAGTTGTTGAATTATATTCCCATAACTACGTTTGTACACCACAAGAGATTAAAGTAGGCATTAAGAATCAAGTTACACGCCCTAGCTATTCTCTTTATTGCAACAACGTGTCAAGTACATGGAAGTATATTGGGTCCATCACAACAAGTGTTATGAAACAGACCCCTGGTGTAACTAATGAGGGATGTGCTAATAAGGATTTATGCAAATTTGCCTAAGTTGTATTCTATATCATGTATATAGTAGGCAGCGGAACATAATGCGTCAGAACATGGGGATGTAGTCTAAAAGAATTTCAGTATCGAAACTTAGGGGCTATTCTGTTACTTACTACATGATGATTCATCCTCATAATTGTCACAGTCGTAATATCCATCGCAAACTAACGTTACTGACACGTTCATGATCGATCCCAAACAAGGAAAGAAATCTGAAACAGAAAAAGGACGATGTGTGTTTTAGGAGTATTCACCTACTTCTAATAATAAACATAATCTTTTAATAATAATAACCCTAATCTCTGCTTCTGTATAATGACAATTAAGATAAACTGATGCATTTTCAGTTACAATTGATCTGACACATAGACTATTGCATATGCTCTTTTGTGTTAATACTATTATTACGTGTTAATGAAAGGGAGCCCGACTTAATAATTACGCTACAGGCTGTTGGTATTGGCGAGAGGTGGGATACTCATTTATTAGAGATTAATGTCGGCAGATATGCAAAATTATATTTAAATAGCAAGCATTTTATGACTTATGCAACAATCATACGTGAGATAATTGGACTTTCCCTGTATATAAAATGAACCAGTCCAACTCGTTTTCGTTCCATGTAGAGGTTAGTGGTCTTAGCCCGTACGTCATTCTTAGTTCATAGTAGACCATGTTCGTACTGCGTAGAGTTTACTGTGCTTGTGTGTGTGATGGATACTATATGCTGACGTCATGCGAGGATACGTTCGCTGATTGGACGATACCATTTCGGTAAAGAATTCCAGTCGGAAACAAAGGTTAACATAAGATGTCCAATCTAGATTACTAAAGGCTACTTGGCTGCGCTACTCGCCCTGACGGTCACTTGGGTTTCAGCGATTAGTCTCTTTTTAGTCGATCGGCGTCTATCGGACATGTGGCCTTGTTTAAAGGCTACGGTTCTTAATTGTTGCTGTGAGCGGTGTGCGAGAGAGAGAGAGAGAGAGCGAGAGAGCGAAACAATACGTGCAATCATGCGAACGGCAATGGGCTAAATCGTGCAGGAAACGCAACTAAAGGCAGTGACACGCGCTCAATCCAAAAAAAAAAGAGGTGCGTATGATTCGTATACCTGCGCTAAGCCACTTGCTGTTGCTCGCATTCACTGGTTGCCACTCGTATCCGCTCGTAGGCGATTTGAGCTTGCGTTTGCTTGCGATAGTTTAGAAAATTGTAAAACTAGCGCGGACCAACGCATGTCTATATGCGCTAGTCTGCGTATTGAGTACGTAGTTAGCACGTTTAATTGCGCAAAGGTACGCAAATGTGTGACCGTGGCAAATAAGGAAGCCTCGTGCCAAATATGGTGCTTTTATCCGCCGAGTAACGGTATCCTTAAAATTTAACACTAAGCCACCTGACAATTAAAGGGGGAGTGTAACAGGACAGCTTCACTCTACCTACCACACGTTTTATCAATGACCTAGATGATCTCAATCAATTGAGGGGTAAAATTGTATGATCGAAATGATTGACTATTCAGGTCTTTGTCTTCTACCAAGTTTTGAAAAGTCGTTGGAACAATATGGGATACCCTAATAAGCTGGGAGCCAAAAAGCCATTAAAATATCAAAATAAAGTCCCCAAGACAGACAAAACAAGTTACTCTTCTAAATAATGGAGAACATTCACCATAAAATGCAAGAAACTAACGAATTCCACAATTTCATAAAACAGTGGAGAAGAATGTGATAGAATGCGAAATATATGGCTTTATATTTCCGCACCCGTATTCCAACAATTCCGTATTTGTGTACTCGGGCCCTATTTCGTAAAACTTGTTATCAGTAACAAGTTACAATAACTGTTATAAGCTACTGAAATCGTGGCATTGATTTGCTGAGAGCAAATTTATCATAGCATTTAGAATTAGTTTTTCATAACAAGTGTCATGAAATGACATGATTTATCTAACATGATTTGTTTTAACTGTAATTTGTTATGACTGTTATTTTTTTAGGCGACTGGTCAAGAAACTACATGGTAGCAACATTTTAAAATCGCACACTTGACTTTATACACAGCAGTTTACTAATCGTCCGAGTTTGTTTGTAGCAGTTTTACTCGGTATGACTTCCAGATTTCATTTTAACTCCTTAAGTTTCACCCCATACTTAAAGGTACTATGTCCCTTTTGCAGCCAACCTCAAATGCTGTAGAACTTTGCAGGAATTATGAATATGTCATGTATGTCCTATCTGTAAAATTTAAACTTTAGCAGTGTCCTCATATTCAAATTATGCAAGGAAACCCGTTTACTTGCTAGACTTCACTGTCAGACACTATTGAGTGTCATAATAACATATTACAACATGACTGGCCTTTTTCTTCTTTGGTAATAACATACATGAAAAGAGTTGCAAAGGGTACATGAGCATTTGTCTACATCAATAACCCACTTCTTATGATGGCCAAGATTAAACTGATTGAAACTTTGCGCAGCATAAAACGTATGACCATTCGGTACAATTGTCTGAAAATCAAGACTTTTACTAGTATAGCCCTAAAGTCGATTTGACAACTAATAGTCGTTATTTTCCCACTTGAAGACATTTTCAAGCCCCACCTTTTTTAGGGAAGTTCTAAATTAGTATTATCTTTCAAATGCAGTTGGAATTTAACTTTTTCATTTTTTTGGCCTGCAAATGGGACATAGTACCTTTAAAGGTATGTTTCTGGAATAATTTTTCGTTAGGTTTCAAATAGCATGAAAGATAAGAAGCAGTTATGTTATAGTTTGCAACTTTGCATGGCGATTTATCGATTCGAGTGTATTCATTCATGCACACACATTTTATGTTGATTGTCAGGTTTTTGATGTTGAAAGTAAAAGTGCCTTTGTTTTTAGCTTGAAAAGGGAAAGAGATTAGCATGAAATTATTATTTGGTTGATGTAGACGTGGACGGATCCAGGGGGGCACAGGGGGCACGTGCCCACCGGCAAAAAAATTGTTAAAATCAGCCCTAAATTCGCCCAAAATGTACTGAAAAACAGGGCCGTACCCCCCGATCAAAAAAAAATTATTAAAAATTGTATTTAAAAAAATAAAAAAATATTCAAATGGCTGACCTAAAAAGGTGACCTACCCCCCCCCCCCAACGGAGCAAAATGTCAAATTAAAAAATTTCTTGACCCCCCCCCCCCCACCAAAAAAGTGTCCTTTCATCCCCCCTCCCACCTCCCCCCTCCCACCCCCCCCCCCCCCTTATTCAGCGGCTGGCTGAGTCGTTGCGATTTGTTTTTAACAAAAACAAAAAAAGTGTCCTCTTATCAGCCCCCCTCCCCCCCCCCCCCCCGCTTATTCAGCCGCTGGCTGAGTCGTTGCGATTTTTTTTTTTAGACTAAAAAAATATATATATATATATATATATATTCTCTTTTCCACCGTTGCTCGTAGTTATCCGTGACAACTCGTAACAAATCGTGTACTGTTGCCGTAAATACATCGTAATAAAACCGCAAACAGCTCGTAATAACTCTTAAACCGGTCGTAAACGTGGCCAAATCGTAAGGATCCGTGAAAGATCCGTGAATTTGTGCGATCCGTAAGGACTCGTAAGAACAATCCGTGTATGTGAAGGGGGTATTAGGCACACGCTTAGGTTTAAAGTTAGGTCTTTCATATGGAAATAGTGTTATGCAATCATGATCAGGACACATGCATGTTTTATATGTTTCGTACTTTTGTTTTAAGTACTTTTTGGATTCATTCTCTAGTTGAAGAAAAACATTAATTTCAAAATACACTTTGTGAAATACCAGCATGATATAATTAAAGAAAACTCTTAATTATTTCTTACTCATCACAATTAATGTGAAAATCGTTTAACAGGAGTTGAAACTACAATCTAACATTCCATGTGTGGATACATTGATCTTATGAATATTTTTCTTGTCTGTTTGGTTTACAGGGTACGGTAACCAACACAGTTGTTGAATTATATTCCCATAACTACGTTTGTACACCACAAGAGATTAAAGTAGGCATTAAGAATCAAGTTACACGCCCTAGCTATTCTCTTTATTGCAACAACGTGTCAAGTACATGGAAGTATATTGGGTCCATCACAACAAGTGTTATGAAACAGACCCCTGGTGTAACTAATGAGGGATGTGCTAATAAGGATTTATGCAAATTTGCCTAAGTTGTATTCTATATCATGTATATAGTAGGCAGCGGAACGTAATGCGTCAGAACATGGGGATGTAGTCTAAAAGAATTTCAGTATCGAAACTTAGGGGCTATTCTGTTACTTACTACATGATGATTCATCCTCATAACTGTCACAGTCGTAATATCCATCGCAAACTAACGTTACTGACACGTTCATGATCGATCCCAAACAAGGAAAGAAATCTGAAACAGAAAAAGGACGATGTGTGTTTTAGGAGTATTCACCTACTTCTGATAATAAACATAATCTTTTAATAATAATAACCCTAATCTCTGCTTCTGTATAATGACAATTAAGATAAACTGATGCATTTTCAGTTACAATTGATCTGACACATAGACTATTGCATATGCTCTAGTTAATACTATTATTACGTGTTAATGAAAGGGAGCCCGACTTAATAATTACGCTACAGGCTGTTGGTATTGGCGAGAGGTGGGATACTCATTTATTAGAGATTAATGTCGGCAGATCTTGAACTGTACATGTAGTTTTCAACCTAGATCGATGAATACGCTCTTCTTAATCGTGTTGGAAAATGTTTGTTGAAGTTGGTGGGATATGTACTTCTGTATTCAGGCAGCCTTCCCACGACCTGTTTTATATCTAGCGGTGTCACTGTCTATTAAACAGTAAAGCCATTTATATGTAACTTCTGTTACCTCGAGTAATTTTATTAGTGGAAAAAATCCACAAGGAATTGAACAGTAATAATCCGATTGATGCAATTATACTCACTCAGCAAATCAATGGCAGTAATACTAACACCCTGGTATTGCCCTGGTCCTATGGCGGCAAACCACATCTCATTGTTATCTACATAAACATGATCAGCGTAGTGTGTATATCCACGGATAGTTGTGATAACAGACTGTATATCAGATGGGTCGTTACCTGTTCCTATTTGGACTATACTATCATCATCATAAATGAGTCGCAAATATTGAAACACAAACACAACTTGAAATCCATTCGTGGCGTTTGTTTGTAGCAACCGTATTTCAGAGGTGTCTGGAAAGGAAATGAAATGTGATTCGCCTTCCGGAAGATAAGTTGCTGAATAATCTGTCAGATATTTTTTTTTATAAGAATGAAAGAAAAACAAGAAATTAAAAGAAAAACAAGTAACTTTCGCATCTGTAGATGATTCTGATCAATCCTTCAACTTGAGATTGTTGGATAAGCACTGACTAATTTTGGAGACTCTCCTAAAAAAAACCTGTATTATCCATACGATTTGACCGACTTAAAGGGATCGTTTTACAATGTAAAATCTGAGATACACGGCCCTACGTGTTATCAGTGTGTGTGATATGGTGTAATATTAGTGAAGTCCTAAAAAAAAATGCGCTTCAAAATGATCAAGAAGTGCCTCAAAAAAGTAAAAATCTTCGAGTTACGGTTTTCAAAATTTGTAATTCCAATCATAAATATCTTGATAATCAGACAGGCGATTGGCTTGTAAAATTCACGGGGTTCCTGACTGACCTAAAGGTTTATATTTATCATTGCAGCATGAGCTAAATCCAGAATTTTGTTTCAGAATCTGAAACAAGTTACCTAGACCATAAAGTTCATTCCCCAAAAAGTTTTTGACCTCGCCGTATATGTCAGAGCTCCCAATAGCTACCTCACGCACAAAATTTCGTTGGTTGAAAGTATGATTGGACATTACAAACACGAGAAAGATCACAAGTGATTGGTTAAATAAGACGCCCCTTAAAGAGTGGGGGCATTCCCCTAAAAATCGTATGGACAAAATTTATATGGGAAGCAATCTATGTTCATTACAGAATATAATGACTGGCCTATCATGAGATGCAGACATACAACTTCATATTGACAAAATTTGTTGCTTGGACCCGACTTCATGAAGTCAGGTGGCTGAATGAAATTACCCTTACTCGGTGGATAAAAGCACCATATTTTGGTATGACCTATTAATTAAAATTAGCCTATATAGGAGCCCTCCGGCGTTTAAAAAAAAGTAAAACACGAAATTTCAAGATGGTTTACATATTTGACAAAATATTACTCTTCTAACGTCCAGGGAGTCATAAGAAGCTCGGAGTAAAGAAATCTAAAACCATAAAGAATGATGAATATTATTGTTTACTCGCTTCTCATTATGTATACTATTATCTAGATCTATTATTTTTAAATTATTTTAAAAATGATTCCATAAATTGGGGTAAAACAAAAATATTCCAACTATATTAGCGACAGTGTAATATACAGTGATAGATGAACATTTACATTTCCCCGAAAATCTAGGCCTATACACATTGATAAACAGATAAATACGTAACCGGTATACCTTTCATTTAATGTTACTACAATTTTTCAATTTTAATTTATTCATGTTTCCAACAAAACATTACAAATCAATTGTAAACATTTAAAACAAATGTACTTACCCCCAACTGCAATGTGGATGAGGGATGTCATCCAAAGAATAAGGAGAAGCTGGACAACTGAGTGAGTTTTTCCAAAACTCTTCTTCATTTTCATTCCGTTCATGATACTGGGATTAAAATTATAAAATCTGATGTGGTAATACGATACAAGTATTTGTAATATAATAATAATAATGATAATAATGATAATATTTATAATGATAACAATAATGATAATAATAAGTGGATTTATATAGCACATTTCCAGAGTATACAAGGCGCTGTTCCGTAGCCAATCAACAAAATAACAAGAATAAATTGTAGAGGTATGATTTCGGAAGTTTTTTGAAGAGGTAAAGTGAAGTAGTACTTCTTAGAAATGCAGGGAGTTTATGCTATAGGCGTATAGCAACGGATAGAAAGGGTTTCAATCCAGCCTGTTTATATGATATGGGTCAACATCTGCTTTAAAAAGAGTTAAATAAACTCATCCGCATTTAGTGAAATATATTTAATCAGAACAACAGCAGCAAATGTTCATTTCATATGGAAGAAGTATCTCGAAATTAAAGGGGAATTCCGGCCTGATGTTACTAGAAATAGACAGATTCGAGCAGAGATCGACGTGTTAACATTACTAAAAGCAAAGACGTGTAAGACGTTTCGGGTGCAGCGGGAAAATTTAGTAAATTTCGATTAAAGTCTCAGTTTAAGTTATGAATTTTTGATCGTGGGATCGATCAAACACAAATTGGCAACTTTTTAACGTATCTTGAGGGTCCTCCCCCCTCCTAATTCACTAGATGTACCAATATGTTTAATAAAAATTCACTTATTTCTAAAAAAAGGGTTTTAATCATACATGCACCCGAGATATAATCCCTGCACATATGAATCGAGAAAACACAGGTAATGTACATGTTAGAAAATTCTCAGAACGTAGCAGAAGGAGAAGGACTTCAAAATGGTAAGTAGCAAATTAGTTAGCACTTTAGAATCTAGATAGTGTGATGCAGTCTTACCTCGTTATTCACTACAACATACAGATTTTGTTTTCTTTTCTTTCTTTTTCCTGCTTTTTTCCTGGCTGGACGCCCCCGCTAGCAGTATTTCACATTTTCTTCCTCATTTTGAAAGAAATAAATTGTAATGGCCTATGGTAAAAGGGGCTGGTATGGGAATAAAAGAAGCCCCCATCCTTTCGTACGAAATCGTGATTAAACAAATATGTCTTCTCTCTTGGAAAGATAAGTATAGGATTGAAGTTACTGAGAAAAACCAGCCAATTTGATGCTTTAAAGGTAATACAAAGTTTTGGGAAATTTTGAAAATTGGGTGGATAGTGATTCTTTACAACTTTGATCTGTTTGGATGCCCATGTGGATGTATAAGCACAAAAAAATTTAGCCCCTAAAACACTTCTGCTTTCGAGAAAAATGGAATATAAATTTTGAAAATTTTCAAATAGCGCCTACGGCCGAACAACGGTAACTGCAACCATGAAACTCTCAGAATATGTAGTTGTGATATATAATTTCCAAATGGGAATAGTTAATCGGTCGATATTTTAGTCAGGAAACATTGTTTTATAGCTTAATTAATATCTTGACCTTGAGAGGGAGCTATACAACATAAAGAGATCATTATTTACAATTTTATAAATTTAGACTCGATTTCAACCGCAACAACGATCACTGAATATTGCAGGATCGCATATGCTTCCAATATATTCATTTGAACCAAATTCGTGACCCCATACCAAAACTTTGTATTACCTTTAATAGACAGTCTCCTTTAATAATGAAAATGAACCCCATAATACAAAACATAATGGGCCCTGCAAGCCATACCTTTATGGTATTTTGACGGTACATGTACCTGATGGAATAATGGAATTAATACGGGGGGAAAGGGGCAGTGTTAAACCAAAATTATGCTTTATCTTCATCTCCTCTTTATTTTCTTCCTTGTTTGGGGGGTCTTTTCCCCCTTACCCTATTATTTACCTTTCTTCTTATTTTGTTGTTGCCGCGGATCATATCTGGGGGAGCAGCTGCCCCCAAGCCCCCCCCCCCCCCCCCTCCCCACCGCCCGCAGAACGCCACTGAAAAAGATAAGCGATTAGCACTGAACAGGTATTGAAAATAAGAGAATATCAATATAACAATGCTGCTCTCAATTGTCAGCAGTCAATACAAAATAAACAGTTCAATGTGACGGCAAGGTTCACACGAGAGTCCGTGAAATTAAGTTTAGTTCATGGTTTAAACTTTTATGTTTTGGTAATTAAGGACCGTGCAAAGGCTCTCGGGGTTGTTAAGCTTTAAAGGTAATACAAAGTTTTGGGAAATTTTGAAAATTGGGTGGATAGCGATTCATTACAATTTTGATATATTTGGATGCCCATGTGGATGAATTATAAGCACTAGAAAATGTAGCCCCTGAAACACTTCTGCTTTCGAGAAAAATTGAATATAAAAATTTACCGGTGCTCCCGGTAAATTTTGATACATTTTAAATAGCGCCTACGGCCGTAAAATGGTAGCTGCGACCATGAAAATCTCAGAATGTGTAGTTGTGATATATAATTTCCAAACGGGAATATCTAATCGGTCGATTTTAGTCAAGAAACATTGTTTTATAGCTTAATTAATATTTTTGACCTTGAGAGGGAACTATACAATATAAAGAGTTTATTAATTACAATTTCATAACTTTAGACTCGATTTCAATCGCGACAACGATCACTGAATATTGTAGAATCGCATATGCTTCCAATATGTTCATTTGAACCAAATTCATGACCCCAAACCAAAACTTTGTATTACCTTTAAGTTTACCCAAAGTTTTTTCACACGGTCGATCTTATGAGTTTTTTGTTTAACATAACATAAAATTATGACATACACAAGGCATAGATGATAATCAGTTTAAACTATCAATACAGAAATGTACAACACGATAGCTACGGGCAGTCGTGGATCCTCAATTGCGTACCATGATGACGCACTAAACTTCAAGGTTTCGCTACCGTGTTCTTACTAAGATTGCTTGCTCAGCTCGAAGTTTAAAACTTTGAACACTTGTTGTTTTGGTCCTCGTTTTTGGCATTAGTTCGTTTTTTCTAAACTTCAAGGTTGTAGAAGAGTAACAAAATTAGAGACTTAGAAGTTTAAAACTACGACGGTTCCGTGTGAACATAATTATAACGAAGCTTGTAATGACGTGCGGACACACAATGGAAGCAATCATTCATGACAAAATACAAATGACAATTCGTCTAAACTGCTCACTGTATATATACTAAATTTGGAAAATATTAGACTTCAACCAAACCAATTTTGTTATTGTAATATGTATTTCGTTAACACTTCTTAAGTTCATACCATGGCAAACAAAACATATGGGGCCGTCTTTTGTTTTTCTTCTTTCCTTCTTTAGGAGACTGGAACCGTGTACTGAATGTCAAGCAAGACACTCAAAACGTTCAGGGAACAAGCCGTTCCTGTTACAAGAAACCGCTAAAATTTGGTAGATTGTTAGAGAAATACGAATTGTGTGATATCTGGAGGGGAATTAATTTTAATAATATTCAGTTTGACTGAAAGAATGAATATCTCAAACTTGCATCAAGATTAGATTATTGGCTGGTCGACAAAAGCTCTTTAAGGAAGAGTTGTAGAATAGAGTTCAGACCAGCAATGAGAGCTGATCACGACGCAATATTTTATTTCTTTAAAAATCAAAACAAAATCTGTTCGAAAGGGTTCAGATTACTGGAAGCTGAACAGTCGTGTTCTGTTTGATGACTGATATCATAACAATATTTGTGATGTTATTAGTTCAATGAATTCTCAAAATTTGAATCCCCTGCAGAAATGGAAACTTTTGAAAATATGCGCTTTACATTAGAATAGTACGCTTTACAATCTACATTAACATATATAAGAGGACAAACAGGGGCGGCCGAGCGTCTTCCAAAGTGGGGGGGGGCACCAACAAAAAAGGGCACTTTCTAGAAAAAAAGGGCACTCACAGTGGGAAATCTCAAAGCGAAAATATACCATTTTTTAGACATTGGTACATGTATATACCCCTACATTGTGATTACATTATCAGGGATGATTTCAATATTTGTTTCTCTTCATATATCATACAATATATCGCTTAAGCATCAAACTTTCCAGTTGGGTGTGATGTCTGAACATGCATTTACGAGCGAGCGAAGCGAGCGAGAAAAAAATTACAGATATGTGAGGTCAATGTGCGAAAAATTACATCTTATAAAAAGGAAAAAAGCCAATCGTGATGAAGATATAAGCACATTCTCATAACGGAAGACTAAAAGACCTTTGATTATATCATATTTAAATGCGAGCGAGCGCAGCGAGCGACCTTTGGGGGACATTGCTCTTAGTCGCTTTAAATAAGGGGCACGTTTAATGATTACATGAAAAGGGGACAATTATCGAAAGGGATAAGACACTTATTAGAAAAGAAAAGGAGCACTTGTCAAAGTGCAAAGGATATTTATAAGAGGTGAAATGAGGCATTTTTTCACCTGAAAAGAGGCACTCACCAGTGATGAAAAAGAGGCGCTTACGAAAATGGGAAATAGGCATTTGTTGACGGAAAAGCGCACCCATCAGATTTTGATAGGGGCATTTATAAGAGGTGAAAAGGAGATTCAAATTCAATTCAAATTCAAAGTTTATTCAACACTCTTCATAAAAACATTTAAAACATACAAATACAGAATGGAGTTATAAATATTAAAAAACACAAAAAGGTGATAACAAATACAATGGCAATTTATAAGAGCATTTGGGATAGGCAGAAAGGAGGGAAGTTCCTTATATAAAAGCCTACCCCTAAAAACACACATACATGAAAACGAGAACAATAGAACAGAACAATAAAAAAAAGAACATATTAAAACTTACTATCATGCACGATCAGAGTATATAAGAAAAATGTCAAAAATTTGTCTATACTATTGATACTAATTATTATACTTGTTTAACAGAAATTGTTTATATTTAATTTTAAAAAGATTGAGAGTTTTGCATTTTTTTATTTCCTGAGGTATACTATTCCATATTAATGGTCCTTT